TAATATTATAGATAAGTGGACCCTTAATGTGGGCATTATTTTGTACGGTATGCAATATTATATTATGATAAGTGCATTATTAAATTAAATGTTATTTGCTAAGGTCTTAAACACTATATTATATATAAATGTGCATCCTTATTGTGAATACTAATTCTGACAGTGTGCAACACACATTATACTATTATAAGTGTATTCTTAATTTTACTATTTGCTACAGTGTGGGACATAATACTATATGCAAGTGCTGTTCTATATAAACCAGTAATTTGCTATATGGTTAGAGTTGTTTGTTTGCTGAGGATAAAAGAAATATCAGTGCATGGGATAGTATTAGGGGAAAGAGGGACATGGGGGGAATGGGGGATATTAATTTATCAATTAGTTACAATTGGTGGTTTGAACACTTTTGTGGTATTATATTATTTGTTTGACTGTTGTGTTGAAAATTTAGCAAAGCACGTGATAGAAGTATTAGTCTCGTGATGCACACAAAATTTTTTTTATTGCAAAAGAGTGAAACTTTAGCATAATAGGAAAGTAATCAGAAAAATATTTCAGTTATAAACATATCTAAATAGAAATATTGAAAACAAATTCTTTATATTGGGTTGTTTAATGTACCAAATCAAGATCAGTCAGTTTAAACATTTAAATCTAATTCTAATATATGTATATTAGTGACTCGCATAGTCACTTGAAAATAAATTTAAGATATTAAGAAAATAAGGTCAAAGAGTAGTCAAATTTCAATTAAGATTGTATGATTAACGGAGCAATGACAACTCTGATAATGGTGAAAATGCTCACAAATTTTCTCATATTAATTCTGATCAAGTAAAAGTATAAATATGAAAGATATCAATTGATTTCAGGGAGTGTACTCTGCTCAAATAATTGCTCAAGAATTTCGCATAATAATATCGAGTTTCATATAATGTTCACTGTTACAATGCATTTATTTCTTGTATAACTTACTTGGCCATGTCAACGTATCTCTTTTAACCTTTCTTCAGAATCCTGTGGCTTGCAATAACTCTTTAGAAACGTATCCAACATCTCCTTTGTGTTTTCTAGTCTTGTTCGGGTCTCCACGAATTTCCAGCACATTCCAAAGTCCAGAAGAATATATATTGCCGTTGCTCGTAAAGTCCTCAACACCAGCAGAGCTCATTAGAGGATCATTTATTACGGACATGGCGTATGTGAATATAAAGAAGACGATAAATGCAGTATAACAATTGAAAGCATATCTCGAGCAAAGTAGAAAAATGATTGGCATCCTGCCCCTACAGAGAGTAAAGAAAGTGAAACTCAAAGGGAGGGTGTGCATCGCAAGACGGTCAATTCAACTGAGTGATCATCCCTCATTGGGGGGAGGTGTGTAGAGCCGTAAGTTGTGTATCGAATATTCTTTTGTCTCAGCGGTAAAGGCGCACCAGAGGTATCATTTGTTGCGGAACAAGCACTTGGTACTATCATTATGGGCTAAAGAATGCAACAAGATATTTTTCAACATTTATAACTTTTTCTACTTTGTAAGGGAGGGAAATAAGTATCGAAGAAAGAAAAAAAACTAGGGAGACTTTGGTGATATTGATCTGTCATGGGAGAATTGTTAGTTCCCAAGCAGGGGAAGAAGTGCTGTTCTTGGGATAAATCAATCAATCATCAGTTCTATGTGTACTAAGACAACTTTAAATAGTATTACATTAATTGACAATGATTTTAAATTTTTGGATTACTAGTATCCTTGCTATTTTAGTACATTATATACCGAGTACGACGCTTTTAAGATCTGAAAGGAATAATGTATTTCAAACAGTTTTAAAGCGCTCGTTAAACTTGATTGATACCCACAGCTACATAAGATTCGAGTGACAAGGTAATAACATATCCACTGGTAAATTCAATTGCTCGCTGAGCTCGAATCATGACAATGATAAAATTCCTTTTAGTTGAACTTTTCAGACAAACCCAATTACTTTGGAAAATAGCATCTTTTATCTCCGTACTCTGTAATTCGATTTTCCCAATATGTAATTTAATTATCTTGTGCTCTGTCGTAATTTATTGTTGTAAGTGAACTTTGTTACGTAAGTCCTGGTATTAAATAATATTACCTTCAGGATGACTTCGTTCCCGTACCAACAGTAGACGAACAATTGAAACAGCACATTTGCCAAGTACAAACACATTGACACAAATCTTACACTCAACACGTTAATTTTCACTAGTTGAAAAACACTATAACAAACAGTTCCTAGGTTTACAAAGCACTGCAGAAAATTATTATCAACTAGTCTAGTTGATTCGTCTATTGATTTATATTCATTATCCTGTCAGCAAAATAATTATTTCTATACAACTCATTTATGGGTATTATAAAAACTTTGTCATATTATTTGTTCCATTACCTTTCGAAGCTTGCATCGCAAATTTCATCATTGTCATATCCCTTATGCCAATAACATGTATGCATCTTGTTAAAATATGCGTTTCTTTGAGTCATACGACGATCAAAGATAAAGTCATGAAAGCATCACCCATGAAATTGTCTATGTGATCGAAATTAATATACAAACTGGGGAAACGTGAAACCACACAATTTAATAATCGCGAAAACAACTGTAAGGGAATTTTCATATTGGAACACAACAATGGGTTGGCTTCCAAAAGCCGCTTACTGTTCACAGCTTAAAGCACAACGGCAGAATTTCCATGTTCGAGATATCGTTGCATCACCCTACTATTTTCAACCGGCGACTGTCGCTCAACCAAAGGTGAGCAGCAATGATGGATCGCATTAATAATTTGTCATCCACAGTCTTTATGCTGATTCGATGTTTTTTGGTCCCTAGTGATGCTATGGACGACATTAAGAAATTACTGCTGAAGCTCTTCACGCTGAGAGAAAGCTCACGCTCGCACATCGAGTTGGGGTATTTTGGCGTATTATCGAATGACGAATTCATTGGGTATTTTCCTGTTTCGCTGGGGGGATGATGTGCACGAAGAAACACAGCGTCTCAATGACATCGATTGGCCAATGCTATGGGGTAAGCAATCAATACTGACCTATAGCTTGCAGTAGATAATAGGTATCTTTTTTATATTGTTCCATATTTTGTACGCTGGGAATTTAGACTGCATTTAGAAACTGTATAAGGTGCAATAATTGATATCATTAATACATCTTGGCAAGATTGCATATAGGGTTATACCTATAATTAAATTATACGGTAAATATTACTTTGTTCTTGAAATTATTAACTACACCCTTGCTAGTAAACTATTAAATGACTGCAAACAATACGCTGTGTGCATTGAAATTGACAAATATTGTGTTGGCATGAAAGTAATGAGACACTCTAGAAAACTCGACACATATCCTTTTTTAAATTAATTGTTTTTGACCATATTTTAGTATGTTGTAGAACATTCTAGATACTTCCGCTCTATGGGTATACTATACAATAGAATACGGTCTCATTAGAGTGTCTCATTTCTTTCATGCCAACCTAATAAAATTTATTTCAGCGCGCTGTCATGCGCACATACTTTGTAAAACAATCGTATGCAGAGCCTAATGGCTCCTTTTCCTAATGGATTTATTAAGGATTCCATCGTCCGCGAACTGTCAAAAAAACAGATTGAACTCAGACAGATTACAGTAATTTGAGTCCATCTAAACTACATTCGTGTCGATTTTAATATTACTTCTATGAACTTTTATCTTTTCAGATGATTTTTCTTTTTCAACGTGTCCACCAGCTTCCAGTAAATGAAAGCACCAAGTACTGCAAATCACTGGTGCAAAGTACTGCAATCGCTGTTTACGTGACGAGATTGAGATGCACATATTTACGTTGCATTTCATGAAGAATAACAAATGCGTGCATGGTGCTTAAAAAAACCAGAAGCGTTAATTTATTAACAGTTGGGTGGAGAAAAGTATACGTTAATTAAAAGTAAATTAATTAAAACTTTTATTCTACATACGTAAAATAACAACTTTATAATCAATATTTTTACAATTATTATTGTTTCGCTACAATGCAATAATAACAATTAATAAGAAGCTTATCTTTGCATGTAAAAGTGCATAGTGTGCATATTAGTTCTATGATGATTGGTGCAGGAAATTAAATGTGGTGTACGATAATTTCAAAATCTGAAAAATAGTACACTCTTAGCATTAATTTCCAATGATAATTTCATATGTCAATACTCACAGCCATAAACGAATCCAAAGACAGAGTGACAACGTATCCACTGGTAAATCGGATTGGTATGTTGGTTCTCATCATAAGAAATATTAAATCCTTTTTAATTGCTTGAGGTAAAGGAATCCAATCCATTTCAAATACAGCACTCCTTACTTCGGTACTCTGTAGTTTGTATTACGAAATTGACAGTACACCAATTGCGATTAGCCGATAACTTTCAGTTGTCATAATATATTACGATATTGCACTGAGCAAACTTGCCTTTAAAATAACTTTGTTTCCGTACCAACAAAATAAAAACAGTTGGAACATCATTGTAAAAAAATACAAAATCACACTGGCCAATTCAACACTTAATATCTCGTGCTTTAAGAAGGTTAGTGCTGTGACGCAGAAAACCAATGTGCTTGTAACAATCTGAATTAAAAATATCGAATTAAATGCTTTTTCAACATTTGCCTTCACTCTGCAAGGAAAAATCAATTTTTCATTCAACAGCCTATTCTGTTTTCACGTTTCGGTCTTAGTAGACTAACTTGAATATATGATTGTGATGCTGAATGCACATTTTGAGAATATCTTTCTCTCGATTGAAGGAATAATTCTCATCCATTTGTAAAGTCTTGGGGTCATGTAATTCGACCAAACGAAGTTTTAATATTTCCAGTTGGGCGCAAATCTCAATCATTAAGCCAGTTATGTACGTGTCATTTGCTACGGTAATTGCATTAGCCAAAGTCATAGTCACTACTTGGTACAGAAACGACAGAGAAAATAACGTCAGAGACGAAAGACTATATGGCAACCAAATTTTCATTGGCAGTAGACGATCATTCACGTGATATAGCAACGATTCCAAAGTTAAGCACATTGCGCATGACATCATCATTGTGAAAAGATTTAGTGTATTGGATCTATAAGCATTTTTATAAATTAATTAACAGAAGCCACAAACACTCGTTAAAAACTTACCTACAGGTTTTGGCAAATTTCTCTAGCATTAAATTCTCCGTCGTATTTTGACCTCTGCATATCTCAGCCCTCAGCAAATCATGTATCTCAATAATTTGGGCACGTTTTTTCAGAGTATTTGTCGCTTTACAACAGATTATTATCATCGACAAAAGTAAAAAGGCGGTGTTCGCGAAATCATCGAGAGAACCGAAATTAAATACAATATCTAGAAATTCGAAAAACGTCAAACTGTACAGTGTAATAAGTACTGCAAGACTGTAAACAGTGTACAAGGATTTTGACACTGGAGAAGAATAATGCATTGGTCTCCAAACACCGCTTAATGTCCACAACTTAAAGCACAACGGCAGAACTTCCATGTCCGAGATGTCGTTGCGTCACCCCACTATTTTCAACTGGCGACTGTCGCTCACCCGAGGGTGAGCAACAATGACGGATCGCATTAATGATGCAGCATCCAATAGTCTTTACGCTGATCCGATGTTCCGTGGTCCCTATTGATCCTATGGACGCCATTAAAAATTCACTGCTAAAGGTCTTTACGCTAAACGGAAGCTCACGTTGCATATCGAGTTGGGGTAGTTTCGCGCATTATCGAATAAAGAATTCATTGGGTATTTTCCTGTTTCGCTGGGGGATGATGTGCACCAAGAAACACAGCGTCTCAATGATATCGATTGGCCAATGCTATGGGGTAAGGAATCAATAATGACCTATATTTTCCACTACATTACAAATCTATTTGTGTTATTTTTACGTTTGAATATTGGCGAATAACAATACATTTGTAGGTGAGTAAAAAGTGACTATCATAGAAAGGATAGAGAATAACATACTTGGATTTGCAGTGTAGGGAATAGATATCCTTTTTATATTGTTCATTGATATTTGGATGCCGGAGAGTTTGAATGCATTTAGAAACTGCATTAAATGCAATAATTGATTATTGCATTAGTACATCTTGGCAAGATTACCATGTAACAATATACCTATCCTTAAGTGATACGTTGAGTATCACTTTGCTTGTGAAATTTTTAACTACACCGTTGCTAAGCAACAATTCAGTGACTGCAAACAATGCGGCTGTGTACAATATATAAATTATTATTAAAATGCACTCATTACACATTCCTTGTATTTTGATGGTAGACACTTGGGTCCATCTAAACTACGACCCAACAAACCTGCCACCTCTCTGGGATATCTGCGATTTTAGGAAAAGCTACAAATAGCAAAAGAATATGTAGGATACGATGACAATAAGCTTTCGCAGAGGAATTCAAATTTATAGTAATTCTGCGACGTCCGAGGGATGTGTGACATTTGTTTATATTGCTAAATTTAAAAATTATACTATAAGCATTAATAAAAGGTGTGTAGCGTGAAATCACCATATATTAGCGCCACATTTAATATCAAATCTGCTAAATTTAACGAATTCAAATAACGGAACTCTTTATTTAAAGTGTGTTAACGTAACGTACCAGCTACACTAAGGTTTTTGAACAGCTTGAGAATAATCACTTAAGGTTTCAGGTGATTCGATCACTCGATCACTTCTAAGATACGGATCTGAATTTTGTATATGTTCTTGGCAGGTGCTTAACGGTCGTGCGTGCAAAATATTAAAATAATTAACCGTCTAATTTACCAGATAGCGAAAAAAAAAGTAACAAAAAATGTACTATATAGATATACTTCGCTTGTCGAAATAGCAATATATTTTTCGAGATATTTCTGCTTCCAGACTGTAAAAGCTGTTCAAATTTTAAGACACTTTTTCCACATCGAACATTACTACAATGATTTTTAAATTGAAAAACTTTTTTGATAATTTTACATAATTCCATATAATTATTTAAACAATGTGTGACGTGAAATTAAAAAAAATAATGAATCTATGTCCTTATGTTTATCTGAAAGATAATTTGAAAGATATACACGAAAATCACAAAAATTGGAATACTATTATTATGATGTTAGGCGAACCACCTTAAAATTCACAACAACATCATGCAGTAAAATGTTTTTTGGGATCCACATAAAACTTGCACTAAAATTACATTGTGATCTGTGGGTGACAAACGGTATTCTCAATGCAATGCTTTCGTGAACTGGCAATGGGACATCCACTTGGGATTTTTATGTTATTTCTGTTATTTTGCATCAATCTCGCAGTGGCAGTCGGCGACTTCCCTAAAATTTCTCTACGATCAACTTGCGTTTGCTGGGTTTTATATCAACTTTAACATCACTTACACTTTTTGTGTTTTCAGATCATTTTTCTTTTTTTTTTAGAATATCTACCAGCAGCTTCCAATGAATGAAAGGACCAATCCTTGTAAATCACGGTTGGCTGCTCACGTATAGTCCGAGACGCATATATTTATACGTTGCATTTCATGAAAAATTGAAAAATGAAATGCGTACGACGCGATTGAAAAGAACCAGAAGCATCAATTTAATTGCAATTCCGTGGAAAAAAAGGTACGCGTTGAATAAAGAGGCTACGCCACTTTTTAATTTAAATACTGTAACGCATTTCCTGTCATACACTCTATCTGTGACTCCAACGTGGCATTCCCCGGATCCCTTGGGCGCCAGGTGCATCCTTGCACCAGCCCGACTCGTCGGGCCTTTAATTTTTAATCCGCGGCACGTCAACTCCGGGAGTCTTCTCGACCGGATCTTCCCGCTAGCTCCTAATCCTACATGGTAGAGGGGAACGTGAGGGCGGCCAGTATCTGCAGGAATCAGCCGGCTTCTTTGGCAATAACTAAGACGGTGGGATTTAATTCCAACAATGGCCCTTTATTTCGCCTAGGTAAACGAGTACAGTCGGGTGATGTTACGAGCGCGGGTCTATACAATTCTAATACACAACGCGCGGTCGCGGAGGTCATCTCTGTTGACGGTGGACGGTTCGAATCTGCAACCGCCAGGACACGTGACGAGGCCCGCGGGCCCCCACTCCTCGTGCCAAGATGCACCGGCGGATGCGCTTCATCCCCGGCCGGCGCGCTGCATAGCTTCGGGGCGGTCGCCTAAACTGCACTTACCGAACCGTGAACCGTACCTTTCTTCCTCGTCGCTCGGGCGGTGGTTGGTAATTTTCCTCCTCGTCGGCCGTCTCCTCCCTCTGTCACTCGGAGTTCCGTCGGAGCGCCGACGTCGTCGATAGATCCAATTTGCCCTGTCACGTCCGGGCAAAAGCCATGTTGCCCAACAGGTCCTGCAATCTCACACACTCAAACCAGACAAATCGCGGTACCTTATCCGCTGATTTTCGGTATTCTCGTTCCGCGGTTCACAACGAAGTGGCCCCCCTTTCGGCCCACGGTCCGAGGATTCCCGAAGAATCCCGAGTTCACCCGAGCTCGTGCGTTTGCTCTCGCCTCGGTCCGCTCTTCGCTTTTCGGCGCTCACCGCCCGCCCGTCTCCGGGCGGCGCCGATCTTACCCGAGCCCGCCCGACTTTCGGGCTTGGCGGTGCCGGTTTCTCTCCCCGGCTTCCCCTTACTCCGAACCTCCGTCGTCATAGGCATTCTCTTGGCGGCTTTCGTCGGCGACACGGCTCTCCGTGCCCCTATGTTTTTATGTAACTGGCCGTCCCGCGGACGCCACGTTACAATACATAAAATAACGATTTTATAACAGACATTTTTATTGCTATTAAAAGATAATACATACCTAATAACAACGAACTACTAATTTTATAATTATTTTTGTTTCGGTACAGTGCAATAATAAAAATCGGTAAGAAGCTTATCTTTGCATTTGAAAGTGCATAGGGTGCATATTCGTTCTAAGATGATCGTTGCAATACATTAAATGTAGTGTATGATAACTTTAAAATCTGCAAAACAGTATATTTTCGACACTGATATTCCCAGGATTATTTCATATGTCAATACTCACAGCCACATACGAATCCAAAGACAGAGTGAGAACGTATCCACTGGTGAACTTGATTGCTCTCTCAGCCCTCATCATAATCATTATTAAATCCTTTTTCATTAATGCAGGTAGACGAATCCAATCCATTTCAAACACAGCATCTGTGACTTCGATGCTCTGAAATTTACATTGCAAATGATCATTCTATTTATTTATTTTATTTAGCTAGTACGAATGAGTATAAGACACGAGTGCGTGCAGTATAAGACTCGCGTTTTATACTCATTCGTACTAGCTAGATACAACAGTTTTTGTAACAAATGCTCTACGAAAAGGCCGTCTAACCTTTTTTTTTTACGAGAAATGGCACTGTTAACCTGCCTTAAAAATATTTTTGAATAGGTTTCCCCTTCCTTGAAAATATTTTAGATGCCTATGGCGTCTTAAATTTTTCGATAATTTTATAGTCATTTGTACAAAAAATAATATTTTAAGGTGCCCTCGGGAGACACATTACCAGGTATTCATGTGTTACAAAATCGAATTTCAATATGACTTTGATGTAATAAATTTACCTTCAAAATTACTTCATTCCCATACCAACAATATACAAGCAATTGAAAGACTATTGAAAGAAAATACACAATTATAGTAATGAATTCAATACTCAGTAACTGATGATTCAATAATGTAAGTGTAGTGGTGCAAACAACGAAGGCGCTTATAAAACATTGAAAAAGTACTACATGATTAAAAGTCTTTTCCACGAGAGCTGCGAATCTATAAAGAAAGAAGAGAAAAATGATTACTTTGCCTTACGGCCATCTCTTTATGTGCCCGTTAACCTACTAACTTGAATATATGATTGTGATGCCTAATACACATTTTGAGAATAGTCTCCTCCCGATGGAATGTATCATTTATAGCCATTTCGAAATTGTGCGATTCATGCAAATTGGCTAAACGACATTTTAGAATATCCAACTGGCCACAAGCCTGAATCATTAATCCGGATATAAATGTATCGCTTGCCACGGACACCAAACCAGCAGATATTATCGCCAAGCTTTGATGGAGATAAGTCAGGTAAAATACTGGCAACGATGACAGACTGTACGGCAGCCATGCTCTAAACGGCAGTACGCGGTCATTGACATCATGCAATAGTGGTCCCACAAGAAAAAACACTATGGAACTCATAATTATTATCCCAAGATTTACCGTATTGGATCTACAGTAGGTTTAACAGCAGAGAATTAACAGAAAATCAAATTTGAAAAATTTTAATATCTCTAAAAAAAACTTACCTACAGGCATTAGCACAATTATCAAGTATTCTCTGTTCCTCCATATTTTCAGGTCTGCAGATCTCGTCGTACAGCATGTCTCTTATGCAAATAATTTGCAAACGTTTCATAAAGGTATGCGCCACTTTGTAACACACGCCAATCATCGTTAAAAAGAGAAAAGCGTTACTCGTAAAGTCATCGACGTTTCCAAAATTCAAGGCGATGTCTACGAATTCTAGAAGCGTGAAACTAAACAACACAAGAACCGTCACGCAACTGTAGGAGTCGTAAAAGAATTTTGACACCGAAGAATAATAACGAACTGGTCTCCAAAGACTACATATAGTCCAGAACTTGAAGCACAAAGGCAGAATTTCCATGTCCGAGATGTCGTTGCGTCACCCCACTATTTTCAACTGGCGACTGTCGCTACCCGAAGGTGAGCTGCAATGATGGATCCCATTAATAATTTCTGATCTATAGTCTTTACGTTGATCCGGTGCTTACTGTTCCCCATTGATACTGTGGATGCCATTAGTAATACATCATTCATAGTCTTTATATTGATTCGACGTTCACTGCTCCCTATTGATACTATGAACGCCATTAATCATTTATTACTGTTGGTCTTTATGCTGAACGGTAGCTCATGCTTGTATATCGAGTTGGGGTATTTTCGTGCATTATCGAATAAAGAATTCATTGGACACTTTTCTGTTTCTCTGAAAGATAATTTGTACCAAGAAGTATAGAGTCTCAATGATATCGATTGTTGTATGCTATTGGGTATGAAATCAATAGTACCTATACTTAGCTGCAGAGGATTTAAGAATGGTATTTCTTTTTATGTGGTTCAATGATATTTTCAGCTAGAAGAAATTTCTGTGTAAACGCAAACGATACTTTGACAAATATTCCATAATTCTTTATCAAGATATTAATTGAATATTATAACTTGTATACATAAATTGTATACAGTTATTTGTGTAATCAAATTTGAAATTGTTGTTAAATTGTTTACGTGCGCTTAGTCGTTATACTGACTATGATTGTTGCAGTACATTAAACACCGGATAGGATGTTTTCAAAATCTACAAATATGAGAAACACTGAGTGTTGGTGAATTTTTATTTAAAATATTAGATTGATACACTTACGCTCATGTAAGTTCCCAATGACAAGGTGACAATGCTACCACATGTACAATTGATGCTCATATCTGCACGAAGCATAATAATTGTAAGATCTTTTCTTATAGAATTTGTCAATAACAGCCAATCTATCTGATATAAGATGCTTTCGATCTTTGAACTCTGCAAGAATGATTTTCTACAATTAATATCATTCACATATAAGCACCAGCAATATAATAAAATAATAAATGTACCTGAAGTATGACTTCATTCCTGTACCAGCAATAAATGAAGAGTTGATATAACAGGATGGGAAATGGAACAAAAAGACGATAAATTTCACAAAAAGCAAAGCAAACTGTGAATAGCAAATAAATATTTGACCACAGAGCAACCAGACTCACGAAACACTGTAAAGACATTGCAGGATTAAAGAATCCTGCAATTCCTTTGCAAATCTGAAATTCATAATTTTTCATTTTGATTCTTTCATCAATAATAACTTGACAATTTTTTATTTTATAAATAGAACAGACAGGCCAACCTGATTATGTGATTATGACGATGATCACACATTCGCAAATGATTCCTTTCATGATCGTCCATCACGTTCAGTATTTATATCATAACTTTGTGCGTTAGGTAAGTTAGGTAAGTTAGGTAAGTTATGCAGTTTAAATTTGAGTATATCCAACTGTTCACAGGTCTGAGTCATTAATACAAGAATCAGCGTATCATAAGCTGCACTGATTATTGCAGCAACATTAAAGACCAATGCTTGATGAAGAAGTTAGCCAAAAATTGGTCCTTGATGCAGGCTGTATGGCTCCCAACCTCTGAATGACAATACAGGATCATTGAAACCATTGATTAGAGGGCACAGTGTCAATGACACCACTGTTAGCAGGATAGCAAAGACATAATTTCGTGTTGTCTTCCTATAATTATATGAATTAAGACAGTGGATATTATTTTGAAAAAAAAAAATATTTTTTACTCAATACTCATACCTGCAAGTTTCTGCACATTTTTTTTTGTATTTTCTCTTCGTCAACATTGCACGGTTGACATAATTCGTCGAATAAAAAATTGATTAATCTTTTAAACCGTTGGCGTCTTCCCAGTATGTCTGTTGCCTTACAACAAATACCTATCATTGTCAACAACAAAAAGAAATTGTTTGTGAAGTCTTCAACGTCACCGAGGTTAATGAACAGATCAATGATTTCAGAGAATGTGAATGTATGCAGTATACAAATGATTATTAAACTGTAACCATTGTACAGAAATTTCACCAGTCGTTAACAGTTGGTCGGTCACCAAAGACCTCCACCTTTCATAAACTTGAAACACAAGGGAAGAGTGTGCATTGTGAAACTCTTTAACGTACTGAGTCTCTTTTTCTGGGATACCTCGGGGACGATAAAACGCCTTGTTAGCATTTTTATTATTCATTTCTTTTTCTTTCCTGTAGTTACAGGTTGCATCGATTCTACCCTAAGAGATACTTACTACTCCCACTGCAGTCCTTTGTTACGGCAATTGTCGACTAATAAATAAAACGTGGTACATTGCAATTTTCTTGTAATACCCGATTATTTGCAAGTGGGATTAACGTAGGGGTTGTCTTGGTATTATCGATTACACGAATAAAGAATAATATTGTTACCTGTTTTGCATGTGAATTTAGAATTAGAATCCATTCAGTTCTATTAAATATTTGATCTTGACATATATAACATGTACTATGGACAATGGTTTGTGCTATTTATAATAGCTAAATATTTTTTTATCAATTTACTTATCGAGTATTTGCTGTGCATTGTGTTTAACATTATTGTTCTAGTATATCAGAGACAGAATAGGACATCTTTAAAATCTGCCATCAATTTCCCAATTATTATCAAATCTATTGACAATTTCATCATTTAATTTCATGTAGAAACTTACAGACAAGTGGACGGCAAGAGCATGTGTAAAGTTGTTGCCTTCTTGCGCGTAGCATGATCATGTATAACGCGGCATCAGGATGACCCGTTACCAAAATCTCCACCTCCACGCACCGTCCTCGGCAAGATGGTGCCTTCGGCCTCCGCCCATAAGGGTTGCGTGGGTTCGGATTTCCGGTGGAGAAGACAGGGAAAATAATCAACCGGCGACAGTGGCACAAGGCAATTTTGAGTTGAGAACCCGTGCCAAAGGGTGCCGAACCTTCGGGATGCCATTATTGGTACCCCAGGAACTCTGAGTGACTACGGCCAGCGTCCCCGTGGAAAGAGCGCCGTGAGGAATGTCGAAAAACCTAGGGCGACCACATAGGAGTTTCAACATATAACCTATGCCATAATTAAAGGCTAATTAAAGGCTATTTTAGTGCTCCAAAAATAATTTTTCCGCTCCACCCCTAATGCCAAAAATGCATGGACTTCCTAAGTGTAGATTAAGCTGGGAGGACCACAGTCAAAACAATGTTAAAGGTAAGTGTTATAGAATTCTAGTTTACATATTATTTTACCGCTTTTTAAAAGCTGTCGAATGAGACCAAATTCGATCGAATCGGACCACCCTATCCCAAGATATACACCCCCTGGGTGTCCCGAACTGGATTTTTTAAATCTCTGAATACACATTAGCGATGTAGTCGTATCCAATCTAAAGAATCATTCATTTATGCGCACGCAATTAATCTTAAAATTCGTCTTGAATTAATGGCTCGACATTTCTGCAACAACCGATTTTACCACTTCATCCCCTAGGTCAGAACTCACCCCCTCTTTACCTATGTTCTTGTAGAAATTACAATTCCCCACATGCGAGTGCGTTTGACCTACGGGATGAAGGGGTTGATGCAGAAATATCGAGCCGTTAATTCAAGACGAATTTTAAGACCAATTGCAACGTCCTACCTTTCTCGTACGCCGAGATACAAGAACATAGGTAAAGAGGGGGTGAGTTCTGACCTAGGGGATGAAGCGGTAAAATTGGTTGTTGCAGAAATGTCGAGCCATTAATTCAAGACGAATTTTAAGATTAATTGCGTGCGCATAAATGAATGATTCTTTAGATTGGATACGACTACATCGCTAATGTGTATTCAGAGATTTAAAAAATCCAGTTCGGGACACCCAGGGGGTGTATATCTTTGGATAGGGTGGTCCGATTCGATCGAATTTGGTCTCATTCGACAGCCTTTAAAAAGCGGTAAAATAATATGTAAACTAGAATTCTATAACACTTACCTTTAACATTGTTTTGACTGTGGTCCTCCCAGCTTAATCTACACTTAGGAAGTCCATGCATTTTTGGCATTAGGGGTGGAGCGGAAAAATTATTTTTGCAGCACTAAAACAGCCTTTAATTAGCCTTTAATTATGGCATAGGTTATATGTTGAAACTCCTATGTGGTCGCCCTAGGTTTTTTGACATCCGTGAGGAGGAATTCCAGGGAATCCGAGGTTCCTAGGGAGAACTCAGGTTCCGGCAGACCAAGAGAGTGTGGATCTTCTTCCACTGTTTCTTGCGATCTTGCTGCTGGTACTGACTGTGGAATAGCCTCTTGAGCTTCTGCAGACGCATTCTCAGCGCTCGATTCGAAGTCAGATCCCTCAGCTTTTGCCGTATCGACATTTCGTCGCCACTCAACACATTTCTTAATATGATTAACCCAGCTACATATTATGGGTCAATAAAAAGAAACTGCAAAATACATGATAATAACAATATTTTAGAAAAACTGCCATCATTAACGTAAACGTACCAAAAAGTCGGTGATCTCATCATTCGATATGATGGATGGAGCGTCCATCTGTATACCCTTACATATGTTCCAGGAAGAAATATCTGCATCCTTAACAGATACTGACGGACTGCGACTCATGTCCAGAAGCTGTAAAGAAATTTAAAAAATATTTTTAATTAGGAAAAAATTTTAAAAATTAATTCACACTTCATGCGATTCCTAAATGTTCTCTAGCGAGAACTGTACTTCCTCTTGCGTAGATAAAAAAAATTACAAAGTTAAATGAAAAATAATTTTTAAAATTTATACACGCCTCACACGACTTCTGAACGTTCTCTAAGGGAGCTTAAGTTTCTTCTTGTGAAACAACCTGCGAAGAAAATTAAATAAGCAAAAAAAAAGTTCAAAAGAAAAAATAGCAAAAGAAGTAGAAATAATACTAATATGCACCTGACGCGACTCCATCGTCTCAGAATGCATTTAAATTTCTTCACTCGCCAGATCAGCCTGTAAAATAAGCAAACAAATTTAAGAAAAAAGAGAAAACAAATCAATAAAAGTTTTAAAAAACTCATGCGCATTTCATGCAACTCCGTGCTAAAAAATAGGGAAAAAATTATACGCACCTCGAACGATTTACCCTTCCGTAAATTACGGAATCATATTCAATCTTCGCGTTAATCTCCATAACGCCCTTTGAAAAAAACACTTTGTACAATTTCGATTAATGCTTAACACAAAAATAAAATGACAATAAGATTAATATAAGTATAAGGTTAAAGTATGATAAGTGTAGGATAAGGTACCGAGTAAGGAGTAAGAGATAAGGTCAAATACAATTCTACGGTACAGGTAGGGTTAAGGTAGAATTAATGTGAATCTGCAGTGCGTTACCTACGCACAGATAAGGTGAACTTTAGATGACGAGTCTGTAATATAAGTTGGGTAAAACTCGGAATAAAGGTAAGAGTGGGGACACCACAGGAATTCTCTCTGGTCGCCTTCGTGTTCCCCTTTATTATTTCCAGCGCGCTGAGGCTAAGCAGCTGGGAAATTTGGAAAAATCGACTGTAGGAGTAAGGGGAAGCTGCACCTGATGCACGATATTTGGATTTTAAAACGTTGGGAGTAGCCGAGGATTTATTTATAGGCTACGCCGGGAAGCGACGTACGTCACACATGATAGGATCCCGTTTCGTAGAAATTGTAAAATTTCTCTGTTTTCTGTGCTCTGTATGTGCGATTTGTCACAAACATTATTAACCCTTTCGCGACGGCAGTCTGCTCCGCCGTTGTACCGCCACTGTACGCGGCACCGTGCCTAAAAAGTGTGTACATAGATACACTGCGCGTCGACAGTCTTCGGTATTCTGAGTTAATAAAATCAAGAGATACTCTGCAGATATAGTAGAACTCGTTACCGACTATAATCGGTGCTCGTACACACAGGTCGGCGCTCGTAACGAAAGGGTTAATCTGTATTTTCTATATTTATGTACAATATATGAATTTATCGCACCAGGAGTAAATGAAGTGCTGCGTACTGACAGAAAGAACATGAAGTATCATAATTAAAAATTCTATTGATATTTTGGTTTGTGAATTTTAAAAAACGCTGCAGCACAAGACTATTAAGCTAACGAGACATTTAAGAAATACAAAAGAGCTGAAAAGTTCATTTATTGCTTTTGGGAATCTGGAAAAACATTGTATGGGTTAATAATATGTATGATTCATTTAATTATGTAATATAAAAGAATTTTTTACGATTGTGATTGAAATTTACTCCATTATGTGATTATGATGAAGAACGCACAATTTCAACATTCTTCTTTCGTCCTCTACAATTTGATCACAATTTTCTGTTCCAGATAAGCTGCATAAACAATGCTTCAATATTTCCAATTGTCCACAGATCTGAGTCATTAATCCAGGAATTGCAAACTGCAATATCCTTATGTAAATGGGTTAAGCAATAAACAATTAATGAAGAGAGACTATATAAGGCTGTCATGCCCTGAACGGCAGAGCTCGTTCATTGAAATCATTGAAAATGCCCCCCCCCCCCTAGTCATTGCCATTACAGTTGGTACAACCATAATTGTGTGATACCGTGTATACTTTTTGTAAAACGAATTTTCATAATCACTTTTCTTGACACATACCTACAAGTGTCGTCAATTTTTTGTTGTATTTTTTTTCCTAAAAATTCCATGACTGAGAAATTGAGAAAATCCAGCATGTGCATCGTGTCAATGATTTTTGTGTGCTTTAATAAAAATTTCAAAGCCTTGTAACAGTAACAGATCATTAAAAAAATAAATAAAAATTAATTACTCCTTAATACATTCAAGTTCTTCACGGGTGTAAAAATAACTGTTGCCGTGGATAGGGTAAACTTAAATAATGTGAGGAATGTGATTGAACTGTAAAAATTATAGAACAACTTTTCTTATTGTGAAAAACCAACAGGACGCCAGAAACCGCCTAGCGTGAAGAAAGCGAAGCACAAAGGAACTATGTGCATTGTAATTTGTCTAGACGTAGTGAACGATGCTGCCTATTCCGTTTTCTATTCAAGAATAGGTTTCATGTCTCATTAATATTATTATCATCTTTCACCCCATCATTTGTTACATCAACGAGTCCCCTTCGGATACTACCCCTTCAACATCTCGTACATCACAAACAAAAAATATAGTCTTCAAGAATGCATTATGACAAGCTGCAATTTTCTTATTACAGTCAATTACTTGCAACGTACAAAAAAAACAGGGCTGCAGTTAAACGTAAATGGTCTTGTTGCACAAATTCTAATTTTTAATGCATTTTGCCTCTATATATTAATATTACCACCCAATTCATATCTTTACACTGTGCCTCCAACTGCGAAACTCTACGGATATTTACATTGTATATGTATTTATTAGAAAAATTAAAACTGTTGTCATTGAGAATTTTCATGCATGCAAAAGAAATTATACACAATGCTTAATTATTCATATACTTTTGTAATGCCAGTTTTATAGTATCAGCTCTTCCTCCATGTCCAAATGACCGTACGGTTTTTTAAAATTATTTGAATTTGTCAAATTTCTAAAATAATATTTGTGAAAATTAAACAAGACTAAAATCTGGAGTCATCAAATCCGTAACCAGTGTATCATACATGAGGTTAATTGAAGCCGACATTATCGTTTTCAGTGATTATTGCAAATAAGAAATCCAGTAGAAAAACAACCTTGATGGACCATAAGTATATCAAGATTTGAATGAGAGAATCCATTGTTTTGGTCCATAGAACAAAGAATTTACTGGCTTCTGTATATTTCGCCTAAATAATTACAGATAAATACCATTGAAGTAACAAATCATTCATTATACTTGCAATGTATATAAACCTAGTATCGTGGTTACGTTGTTACCGAATCCATTGTTCCACTAAATCATGAGTCTGGAAAAATTTCTTAAACTACATATTCATCAAGTTCATTATTTGTCTTTCCTCTTTTTAATGTTTTCATGACTTTACAACTAGCGCCAATCTGCCTTGGAATTAAGTAGAAATCATTTGTGAAGTCATTCACATTATCTGGAGTACCACAAGTTGCAACAACGGCAAGAGATATACATATGATGGAGAGTACAAATGTTGTGTAATAATTATAAAAGATTTTAACACAAAATCAATGACTCTGATCATCTCATAATACAAATTTTGAAGAAAGTAAAAAACTCAGAGACTGTTTATGCATTTTGAAATTTGTCCATCGACTCTTGTACTGACTGTCGAAGAGCAACGGAACTCGACGTCCTCGATGATGACTTCCTCTCACCTAATATGTTGTATTTGAGACTGTCCACCTTACTTTATTATCATTTCTTGGAGTTCCTGATGTCTAAAGTTTCGTCTACATTTCTCAAATGAATTTTTTCACAAACAAACTGTCTTTTGTCATCTTATATAATTTTTGAATAATAGCCTTTATGGTAATGCAAGTTGGGGATCTACGTTTGAATGTGAATAGTCCGAATGATCCAATTAATTTGAAATTTGTTGCAGCGCATTATATGCGGTAAATGATGCTTTTAATATCTGTAAAAAAAATGTATGCATATAACACATCAAAGGTTATTTTATCCATTACCTTAATATACGGCTCGACAGATAAGGCAATAAAATATCCACTTTTGATTTGAATTGATCTTTCACTTCGTTTCATCATCATTAAAAGAGCCTTTTTATTATTGTTATCCAATAATATCCAATCCATTTCGTAAACCGCATCTCGAACTTCCATGCTCTGTAATTAATGTATAACGATAAGTGATAATTATTTTTGACAGTTGAATCTTCGTGAGTAATAAAAAACATTGGATCTACCTTAAGAATGACCTCGTTCCCGTACCAACAATAAAAAAATAGCTGGAACAGCATACAAAGTAAATAAAGTATCAACGGCATAAATTTCGCACTATCAACACTGTGTTTCGATAACTGATAAACACTGGAGCATAATGCAACGGCACTGGCACAAAATTGCACGATTGTAATCGGATTAGAAACACTCTCTACCGCGCTAGCAAATCTGTAAAAGAAATGCATTTGAAAAAAAAAACTATTGTCTTACTGCAATCAAAAGTTGTCTCACTTGAATATATGCTCGTGGTGTAATACGCAGTGAGTTAAGGAACTTAAAAATTCATCTCGATGATTGATATTGTACAAACGTGGCAGCTTGATCAAACGATATTTCAAAATGTCCAATTGAGAGCATATTTGTATCATAAGTCCGGAAATGAAACTATCAGTAGCCACATTTATGTAAGCTGCAGCCATAATGGCGATACACTGATGCACATAGGATAACCAAAATAATTTTAAAGAAGATAAATCATAAGGTAGCCATGATCTAAATGGTAAAATCCTTTTCCGACTTTCATTGGAAAGGGGTACAATTAGCATAAGTGCAACTGTTATCTGAACCAATATTACATAACGAAGTGTATTCCACCTAAAAGATTTATCAGTTCTTGTATATAAAATTGTTATCACAAATTTTATACATTATACTCTTTATACTCTTCCCAAACCTGGCTATCCCATCGTATCCTTCTTTTATTTCCACTTCCCGTTTATCAACTGCTACACAATAATCAGACGTCAACAAGTTTATCACTTTTAAAATTTTCCCACGTCCCGCCAAAATTTTTGCCACTCGCCAGCACGCGTTAGTGAACGTCACGAGCATAAATGAATTCATCGTGAAATCATCAATACTTTTTATATTGATGAACACGTCGATAAACTCGAATAACATGAAACTATACATTATAACGACGATTAGCAAGCTGTAGATATTGTAGAGAATTTTCATCCAGCTTAAGTAATCACTTGGTCGCCAGAGACCCCAGAATTTGAAAATTACAAAACACACCGGCAGAGTACGCATTGCGATATGGTGTCTTCTTCTTTGGCTATCGGACTATAATAAAATAGTAGTGGATCAAGAAGAGCCTTTGTCGTGTACCTCATTAATAGTTAGGTTATTCTCTTTGTAGTGATGCAACGGATGCACCTATGATATTATGCACACTGGCTTAAACGGTCTTCCTTCTAAGGCATTATTACATGAGAAATAATAATAGATTGGCTTTTACCATTATCCAATAATATTTTTATGATAACCAGTATAACTATAGGTGCTGGATATTCGAAGGATATTAATTTCAAGATAAGAGACTACTGCCACAACTAATCCATGGAGAATTGCTGGAGAAAGTTGTATGTCGAATACGACGCTTTAAGAATCTGCAAAATTAAGTGTTATTAATTATTTCTCTTCGGTAGATTATAAAGGTAATAATTATTATTAACCTGTTTTACCTACATTCATATATGCATCGAGGGACAGACTAATGGTGAAAGCAAATTTAAATATTACTGGTCTGCTGGTGCTTTGAATGATAATTGCAAGAGTTTTTCTTTCAATTACAGACAACTCAGTCCACTTCATATTATACGCAGCATCCCCGATCTCTAAACTCTGTAACAGAATATAATCTCAATTATCATATTTCGAATTTTTAATTATCTGACGTTTAAAAATTCTTATTCACCTTCAGCATCACCTCGTTACCGTACCAACAATAGATCAAAAGTTGGACCAATATACATGACATGTACAATATTAAATTATAAAATTCCGTTGTATTAACAGTACACCTCGAGAGTTTATAAATATTTGAACAAAGTACCACGGCACTGACAGTCAATTGAACGATTACAACAGCACTAAATTCATGTTTCACACCACCAGCACATCTGTAAATGATATACTTAACACCATGTTCCAAATAGACGAGGTATAGCCGGTAGCGGTTCTGCGCATTGGGACAGTGACGTCAGTGGACTCTCTTTTTCCCGATTAGCTGATTTTACGTGTATGTTGTGTCGTCACGCCGCAACTCCAGTTCCATTCTGAGGGGCCATCTCCTTAAGAATCGAAATTTAAATAAGTCCCCTCAAAGTAAAACTGATGTCGCTCTGAACCTGATGTCATTGGTCCCTGCGCGATCTTAACCAAAATACGATCGCTAGTGGCTATATCTCATCTATTTGTATCATGCTTAAGGCCATTCTACAATGCAATATAATAAGAAATAAGGAATAAGAAATAAGCAATAAGATCATCATTTGATATTTACGTAATTCCATTGGATCCTCCAATCAAGAAGGAGAAAATCGTTTTTAAAACCGAGCGTTTACTATGTCTCTACGATTTTTATGACGTCTTGGACATAGCAACGATACGGAAGCGGTTGCTAGGATCGCTAAGGATTTAACGGAGCACGAAACGTCATTGTCAAATGTCATTACCTGTCAATATATAAATATAAAAAAAAATGTGTATGCGTTTATTCATACAGATAAGTAAATCATTACTTCATTTTTAAAGTCACGATGATTTTTATCGTAGAGAAATTTTATTTCTCTAACGATATTGATAATGACCTCGTCTATAGAGCTGGTAATGACAGGTGACAGGTAATGACATTTGACAATGACATTTCGTGCTCCGTGAAATCCTTAGCGACCCTAGCAACCGCTTCCGTATCGTTGCTAGGTATTTCTAACGTAAGCCGTTATAAATTACGGAACGGAGCATGCTCGATGTTACTCATCACGTTTCGTGCTCCGTGAAGTCCTTAAAGACCCTAGCAACCGCTTCCGGTTCGTTGCTATGTCCAAGACGTCATAAAAATCGTAGAGACTTAGTAAACGCTCGGTTTTAAAAACGATTTTCTCCTTCTTGATTGGAGGATCCAATGGAATTACGTAAATATCAAATGAAGATCTTATTGCTTATTTCTTATTTCTTATTATATTGCATTATAGAATGGCCTTTAACGCTAGGTTTACAGGACGTCATTTTGAGAGACAAAAAAAATTACATAAACCATTAAAATTTCTCTTATACGACTTATGGTGACTTTAGTAAATGTAATGTTGTACAATATTAAATAGTCCAAATTAATAGTGTTTAATTATGTTGTTTTTGAATGAAATAAGTTGTTTTTTTAAAGAAAATAAGCGACTCCGTTCACGCGTTAGTTTGACCCGTGTCGGTATATATAGGTATATAAGAAATCTCCGTAAACCTAGTGTCATGCAGTAATAATCCAGTTTGAATGTTTCTTCAACATAATTGAATTATTCAACTAACCTTATTATATAATTATGATGACGAATACATTCCTCCAATATTGTACCATTACTTTTGCTCGAAGTCTTTTCGCAATTCGTTGATATGAGTCTGTGTTTCAATATTTCGAATTGCTCGCAAATCTGAATCATCATGCCAATTATGAAAAGATCCGTAGTTACGTTTATATACGCAGCGATGCTCAACGATGCGCACTGATGTATGTAAGATAACCAAAAAAGTTTCAAAGAAGAAAGACTATAAGGAAGCCATACTTTGTATGGCAAAGTTCGATGTTTTAAGTGACTGAATAAAGAGCCAATTGAATTTGAAAGAACAGAAGTCGTGACAAGAATCAAATAGCGACGTGAGTTTAACCTACAAATATTAATAAAGCAAGTTGTATCACTGATGCACAATAACCTAACCTAATTGGTTAAGCACTTTAATTCTTATCCCTTTAGCAATACTGCCGGTTGGAGTAGTAAGGGCCAAAATAGTGGATAGTAACGTGTAACAAACCATAAGATGTTATTAAATTTTTCTTGTATCTTAATCTCCTCGGGATCTCGTGCCTTGTAATAAATGCTTCCCACAAGCATTGCAATCAGTCCGATGATTTCGTTACGATGTCTCAAGACGCACACAGCCTTGAAGCAAGAATTGACCATTGACAGCAGGATAAATGAATTTGTCGTGATGTCATCAGTGTTATGAGTGTTCGTTATAATTTCCGTAAATTGCAAAATAGTGAGGCTACACATGCCAAACAGTGAGAGCGCGCTATAAATATTGTAGAAAGCTTTGAAACACCGAGAAGAGTCTGTCGGTCTCCATACACCGCAGAACTTGTAAATTCTAAAGTACAATGCAAATGGCGACATTGTTTGGTACGCGACACGCTATTATTTTACACTTATAACGAGAATCCAACGTTCTCTGAACCCTGCACTGTGCGGTATCTATTCTCCTTAGCGCATCATTAATTATTTACAATTTCCTGGTCATTATCGGATGTTATAATAGACCTCTCGTTGGCTTCTTACTACCCTACGCAACTGATTTATTAATATCCTCATTGTAACAGACATTAGAAAAGTTTTGCAATTATCTTATGATACGGAGTGCACAGTACAGGTGCATTTGTTAATAATGAGTAAAGTTATTGATTTTTTTAACTCTTCGTTAGGTGCGTGACTCAGACCTTAAACATTTTTCTCTTTAGTGCTCCATTAAACGTAATAGCTGTAAAAAAAAGAAAAAGAAAAAATCATAATCTGACGTTCAACATGACGTTCTTATTATGCCTTACGTATTATAATAAAATAATATTTACCAATAGACAAGTTAAAAAAAGTGTGTAATCACATGTGACGCATTTATCTTACTGGGGCTCCACCGGTGACCCCCCACGGTGCTGGAACGCATTTCTTGGGTTCGCAGGATCAAGAAACTATGTCGACTCTCGCGCCAACTACAGGCAATCGGCTGCACTGGGCACGGACCGCCGAGACTCTTTAGCCGAGTCAACTCTTGACTCCCCAAAAAACACTTAAGTACGTGTAAAAAACTACGCCGAGTACAGGAGTGCTGTGAGTTCCTCTAAAAATAATTATTGAAATCATATTATTAATACCAAGTACATAAGTCTCTACGTATATGCTTATTATACGATCTAGCACTAGCCCATTGTTTCAAATGTATTTTCAAAATTTCCTGTAACGCCTTTCTTGGTACTAACTTTCATGTACTTGGCATTAATAATACTTCTTGTTAGAGGAATTCGTAGCAGGTCTGTACTTGGCATAGTTTTTTACACGTAAGTGCTTTTTGGGGGGATTGAAATTTACTCGAATTATGTGTTTCCAGTAATCTTAGCTTCGCCTGTCACCGGCGACCCCTTTGGCATTCGACGTGTTAAAATGATCTATGGTCGTATACTACGCGCCTTAACCCGTTAGTAAGATCCACGCGCCTAACACAGAGTTAATAGTAGACAAGATTAATACAGTTTTTCTAATTTTATCTTTTCAGGTATTGACCATACGCTATTTTCAGACAGTTTTTCTAATCGTTATTATATTGCTTGAATTTGAATTATACGTCATTTCATTTTTCAGATGTTTGTTGCAACAAGTTGAATACTGAATATGATGCTTTTAATATCTGTAGTAAAGAAGAAAGACCGGTCTATTGAAAATTATTCAATTGTAAAACTTTTAAAAAGGAATTTTTAAGGACTAACACTTATATAAGCACTGAAGGACAAAGTTATTATGCCACCAATTGTTAATTGTATTGGTTTATTGGTTCTGATCATGATTATTAATAAATCCTTTCTTCGAGAAGGTCTCAATGATAACCAGTCCATTTTGTATAAATTGTCGCCAACCTCTATACTCTGGAATTTTAAGAGTAATACACATTTTATATATCAATGGTAGATACATACTTGTCTTTGGAGTTTAATACCTTTAGAAATAATTCGTTACCGCGATGGCAGTAAAAGAACAATTGGAATAACATGGAGATTAAATAAAATATTAAATTAATAATTTCAACGATCAATGTGCTATGCCTTGAAAGTTGATACATACTTGAGCACAGTGTCAAAACCGTTACAAAAAACTGCACGAAAATTACGGGTTCAAACATTTTTTCAATGATTTTGGCAAATCTACAAAGTTTCAAATAATTTTTTTTTAAACTTGCACCGAAACGTCGATAATCATTATAATCGATACAATCTATACTCACTTTATTATTCGATTATGATAACGAATGCATTTTTCCAAAATTTCTTTATACTCCTTCTTTGTCTCATTTTCAGTTTTTTTACTTCTTGTTAATATTATCAACTTCTCCACACGATGCTCCAGTATTTCCAGCTGAGCACAGTTTTGAATCATCAATCCCGGAATAAATGTGTCATTAGCAACATTGATGAAGGCTGCTGACGCCAGGGCAAAACTTTGATGCACGTAACTCAACCAAAATAATGTTAATGATGATAAATCATAAGGATACCATGCTCGGTTTGGTAAAACTCGTTTTTCAATATCATTAATTACCAAAGGTATCACAATGTAACATATTACCGTGATCGTTACCAGTATTGAATAATTCCGTGTAACTGACCTATTGATATAAAGAAACGATAAAAACAAATCAACTTCATTCAATTCAATGTACACTTTATCTATTCCATATACGAACCAAGCTATTAAATCATATTTCTTTTTTATCTTCTGCTCTACAAGATCCTCAAAATTTTCCAAGAACATATTAATCGCGTTAATTACTGCCTCGCGCTTTACTAATATATTCGCAATTTTACAGCAAACACTAATCATTGTCACAAGCATAAATGTATTGTTAGTCAAATTGTTAACGTCATCAAGCACTGTTATGCTATTTATCGCTTGAGACAGGGTGAAGCTATAAATGCAAAATGTCACAAATACTGTATAGCAATTGTACAAAAATTTGCTCCATGACGTATAATTAATTGGTCGCCAAAAACCACAAAATTGAAAAATTGTAAAGCACAATGGAAGTATATCCATCTTGTAGACCATTCTTTGGTATCCGACACTTTACTACTTTACATTGATAACGAGAATCCGACGTTATCTGAACTATTCACTGTACGGTATCTATGCGCCTGCGTCCATCATTAATTATTTACTATTTCCTGGTCATTATCGAATGTTATAATAGACCTCTCCTTAGCTTCTTACTATCTTACGCAGCTTGTTTATTAATGCACTCATTGTAACAGACAGTAGAGAAGTTTTGAAATTATCTTATGATACAGAATGCTCACTACAGGTGTATTTGTTAATAATGAGTAAAGTTATTGACTTTTTTTACCCTTAGTTAGGTGCGTGGTTCTCAGCTTAAACAATTTTTCGCTTTAGTGTTCTATTAAACGTAATAGTTATGGTAAAAAAGAAAAAAATCATAATCAGCTTTTGATAATTAAAATGGTCTATGGTCGTAGATCACGCGGCTCAACTCATTAACAAAATTTACGCGTCTAACACAGAATTAAAGGTGGAAAAGATCGATACGATTTTTCTAATCATTATTATACCGCTTGAATTTTAATGATGGTATGTTATTTCATTTTCCAGATGTTGGCTGCAACAAGTTGAATGCTGAGTACGATGCTTTTAATATCTGTAATAAAGAAGGAAGACTGGTCAATTGAAAATTATTCAATTAGAAAATTTTTAAAAAACAATTTTTAAGGACTGACACTCATATAAGCACTCAAGGACAAAGTTATTATGCCACCAAGTGTTAATTGTATTGGCTTATTGGTTCTGATCATGATCATCAATAAATCCTTTCTTCGAGAAGGTGACAATGATAACCAGTCCATTTTGTATAAATCGTTGCCAACCTCGACACTCTGCAATTTTAAGAGTAATACACATTTTATATATCAGTGGTAGATACTTGTTTTTGAAATTTAATGAATATCATTTCTAATACCTTCAGAAGTAATTGGTTACCGTGATGACAGTAAAAAAACAATTGGAATAACATGCAGATCAAATAAAGTATTAAACGAATAATTTCAACGCTCAATATGCTGTGTCTTGAAAGTTGAAACACACTTGAGCACAGTGTCAAAACCGTTACAAGAAACTGTACGAAAATTACCGGATCAAAAATTTTTTCAATAATTTTGGTAATTCTACAAAATTTCAAATAATTTTTTTCAGGCTTACATCGAAACGTCGATAATCATTATAATGGACACGATCTATACTCACTTTATTATTCGATTATGATAAAGAATACATTTTTCCAAAATTTCTTTATACTCCTTCTTTGTCTCATTTTCAGTTTTTTTACTTCTTGTTAATATTATCAACTTCTCCACACGATGCTCCAGTATTTCCAGCTGAGCACAGTTTTGAATCATCAATCCCGGAATAAATGTGTCATTAGCAACATTGATGAAGGCTGCTGACGCCAGGGCAAAACTTTGATGCACGTAAGTCAACCAAAATAATGTTAATGATGATAAATCATAAGGATACCATGCTCGGTTTGGTAAAACTCGTTTTTCAATATCATTAATTACCAAAGGTATCACAATGTAACATATTGCCGTGATCGTTACCAGTATTGAATAATTCCGTGTAACTGACCTATTGACATAAAGAAACGATAAAAACAAATCAACTTCAATTAATTTAATGTACACGTTATCTATTCTATATACAAACCAAGCTATCAAATCATATTTCTTTTTTATCTTCTGCTCTACAAGATCCTCAAAATTTTCCAAGAACATATTAATCGCGTTAATTACTGCCTCGCGCTTTACTAATATATTCGCAATTTTACAGCAAACACTAATCATTGTCACAAGCATAAATGTATTGTTAGTCAAATTGTTAACGTCATCAAGCACTGTTATGCTATTTATCGCTTGAGACAGGGTGAAGCTATAAATGCAAAATGTCACAAATACTGTATAGCAATTGTACAAAAATTTGCTCCATGACGTATAATTAATTGGTCGCCAAAAACCACAAAATTGAAAAATTGTAAAGCACAAAGGAAGTATATGCATCTTGTCGACCGTTGCTCATAAACTTCTATAAACTGCTTTCTTGGGGATCAACGTTGTTAGGCTTAGAAAAAAAAATCATTATTTATTCATTAGTACTAATTACAATGCCATGGACCCACTAGCATTTTTTATTTATTCGCTGCTACGGTATTATACTTATTACTGGACATTATCTATCTAACATTATATCATTATATAATGGGCGTGATGAGACATACAATTATCTGATATAAATAATGACAATGTTAATTGTGGTACTGAGAAATTGTCGTGGGAGGATAAAGGTTTCATTTTTTTTTAATATTATGAGATTTGTATAAATTACGAAATTTTTGTTAATAGTGCTTTAATCATTAAAAATTTGTCCAGCTATACAAGATTTCTTCTATCACATTACACTCGTATTCCTTGTATCGCGTTGCTCATCATAAAGTAATAAAAATCTTGATGTATTTAGTTTGTACCATCTGGACGTGCACGTCCTGTGACCTTTGGCATTTTCTTATTTGTCGAATCCTCAAGTTCTTTAGGTTTGTAATAATGTGGTGCTACCTCCAATAGCCATTTACTTTCTATTTCCGTGACCTATAATATAATTCATTAATAACGTATAAATATGTATAATAAATTTAAAATGCTTTATAATTATTCATTTCTACCTGTCGCATAAATTCCTTTGTCGTAAATACCAGTTCGTGATACAGTAGCCATCTTGGCAGCTCTTGAAATAGTGAACTGTTTGGATGAATAGAAACAGTCTGATTGTGTTTAGCAGTTTTATAGTGACCTCCTTTAGATAACCGTGCTACGTGATAAAAATAGCCTGCCGTTATCGCCTGAAACAAAATAACCCCCGTTCAGTTAATAATATTTATAATCTTTAATACAATACGATTATTGTAATACAGACCTTTCGGATATTGATAGTCTCGCTAATTCCAGAGACAAGCTCCATTTCTACGCGTTGCATAAGTCCTACCAATTGTTCTCGAACGTCTCTTGCTCTTTTCATGGATCTGTTAACAAAAAGTACTTACAATGTATAATAAAATATTACAAAATATTCTTCAATGCAACATTACCTATGCTGGATAAAATTTTCGTAACACCAATGTGTACTGAAATCACTTTGCTGCCATTGATTGTATACATTTAACAGGGTCAAATGATCTCCGCCAGGAACATGGAAGTTCTTACGAGCGGTATCAGCGTGAATGATTTTATCTTTAGGCCTGTAGAATATTGCTCCATTTACAGAAAGCATTGCTGCTATAGTAGCTACTTCCTCAGAACATCGATAACGCTCGCTAGCAAGTAACATCTTGGCCATCATTGGATCCAGTGGAAATTCCGCCATTCTACGACCAAGTTTGGTCAATTCACCACGATGATTTAGAGCACCAAGTGCATAAAGTTGCTCCAATGCCAATACGAGAGTCTCGTGAGGTGGAGGATCCAAGAAATCAAAATGAACCAAGTCATTAATGCCTAGTGCTTTTAAAGTCAGTACAGCATTACCTATTGCAGAAAAATTATAGTAAGTATTACTGGAAAGTATAGTTTCGAAACATATATACTATTAAATAATGTACCAAGATTAATTCGTTGAATTTCAGGAACTGTGTTGTCCTCTAGTTCATGTTGATAAGCCCATGCTGTGTAAAGCCTAAAACATTTTCCTGGCGCGACTCTACCAGCTCTTCCAGCACGTTGATTCGCAGAAGCTTTACTAATCGGCACCACCATTAAACTTTCCATACCGGTTCGTGAATTAAAATTATTCTGCTTTGCAAAACCAGGATCAATCACGTATACAATATTGTCTATGGTTAAAGACGTCTCAGCTATATTCGTAGCAAGTACCACCTGTACATTAATGCAAAATATATTACCTTAACTAATATAAGGAATAGAAATTTTTATAATTTTACCTTCCTGGCACCTGGTGGAGTCGGCTGAAATATTTTCGCCTGCATGTCACTAGGTAGATTCGCATAAACCGGTAGAATTAGAAGCTCAGCTAATTTCGTTCCTAATCGTCTCACTCTCTCCTGCAGCATTTCCTGGCACGTCTCTATCTCGTCCTGACCTTTGTATTAACATCTTAGATTAACTCAGTGACTGCGATTTGGCGACCATCTTAAATCTCCATACTGAGGCACACGAGTGTCTTCAGTTATACTGGTTCACTGATCGCCAATTAGCAAAATTCTTAATAATTAATTATCAAATTATCTACCTGTAAGGAATACTAATATGTCACCAAACGGTTGAGTCGCGTGTATCTGAAGAATGGATACAACGCAGGCATCAATATAATCAGCTTCCGGAGCTTTTGTGTAATAAATATCAACAGGGAATCGTCGTCCTGGAATGCGGAAAATTGGAGCATCGTCAAAGAATTGACTGAACTTCGTAGCGTCCAAGGTAGCTGAAGAAATTAAAAGCTTTAGATCTGTACGAAAGCGTGTAATATCCTTTACTAATCCAAACAGAATATCTGTATGTAAAGTACGTTCATGAGCCTCGTCTATGATCATGACACTGTAAATAAAAAGAATAACGTCATTATTTTAAAAAACTTGAATCAATAGAAACTTACCTGTACGATGCTAAATCGGGCTCACTAAGAAATTCACGATGCAGAGTTCCATCTGTCATATATTTTATACGAGTACGCTGAGATGTACAATCCTCAAAACGAATTGCATAACCAACTTCATTACCAAGTTTCACTGCCATTTCATGAGCTACTCGTGCAGCTACAGACATGGCAGCTACTCTTCTCGGTTGTGTACATCCAATTATTTTCCCATCCTCCGTGAAGCCGGATTCGTATAAGTATTGAGGGATTTGTGTAGTTTTTCCTGATCCTGTTTCTCCTTCAATAATTAATACCTAATGAAGATATATTATTGTGCTAGACTTTAGAAACTGTACGCTAAGAGATTTTTATTTCTTTGAAAGATACCTGGTGATCTTTAATAGCTTGAACGAGATCCTTTCTGAATGGATATATAGGTAAACTTTTTTTTGTTTCCTCGATTGTTGTCAATGCTTTTGTTTGAGGTGGTGGTGACAACTCACGTTTTTTATCCTTGGTACTACCAGGCATACGCAACGCTTGGACAAACTCAACTTCATCCTCGAGAAGAAGTTCATAATCTTGTTGTGCTGTAAGAAAATATTTTTTAATGCAGATGTTTATTAGCAATTGATATTTTACCGTGGATGTATACCTTTTCTATCTTTGGCGCCAAAGCGGAATACTGCAGAGGACATTTGATCTGATTCCCATTTACTTTGCTCGGATTGTGGTGGTTCTATATCAACAGTTTCTGCTTCAATAGCATCCTTTCCCTTTTCATGAGGCATATGATAACGTTGCACACGTTCCAACTCTCTGGCTCTTTCATGCTCCTTTGCTAATTTTAGTAATTGTTTTTTATGCTCTCTTTCTCTTTTTTCTCGTTCAGTCAAACTGAAAAGAAGCAATCAAATATTTCTGAAGAAATCCTAATTAAGAGTTAGTCATCTTTTTCACAAAAATATAAAACAATTACACTTCATCTTCAAAAAGGTATTCATCATCCAAAATATCAGCCTCCAACTCCGCAACCTTGTCTTCTTTTCTTTTCTCCAAATATTTTCTACGTGATTCCACACGCAGTTTCGGCACAAGTTTTTCCCTTGAATCAGTTTCCATAACTTTGAGTCTTTTTGCTGCTTCAGCTAAAGAAATTTCATTCCAAGTGATAATTAAATATTTCCATGTATATTTAAGTATAATATACGCACCAGCTCCAGAACCTGCAGGCATCGCAACCTTGCGTACTTTGGAATCATCTTTAGCTTTAAGACGACTAGCAAATTCATCTCTTTCCTTAATATCTTTTTTACGCCTTTCTTCCTCACTGTCACTGTCTTCGGTTGAAGACTCCTTTCTTCTGTATTTACTCATTTTTCTATATAAGGATATGTATACTGATCCTACAAGTTTTACGAGGTTACGAGTAACAGAATAATGACAGTACCTGATTTTCTAAGAAAACTATTTCTTTAAACCTAGTTCGCGTATAAGTATGATAAAAAATAACATTTATTAAATGTTTAAAAACATTCGATTACATTCGTTGTCGGCTTTTAGGTTACGACAATCATTTCATCACATCTTCCTGAACAATATGTTTACTAATTATCTAGACTTCTAGAGACATAAAACGTAATTCTATATTAAGCTATAATCAGAAACTTACCGTAGCGAAAATAATTTGACGTATAATCACTTTTCACTTTTATACAGTACAGATAACCTTTTAAATTCTTAGTCGATTATCGCCGCTGTCAGGATGTTTCGTTGCCGAGCAACGGGATCAATTGAAATACCGGGAAAAGTAGTACAAAGTAGTACAAAAACGAATAACATATGACACTGAGATATGTTAGTTAATAAAAATCGAAAAAGAATATATGAATATATGTGTTTTCATCGGGTATAAGAATAAAATAGTAATTAGAATACATGTATTGTACAGATTTGTAAAATCTTAAACAATCGCTTTCATGCCACACCAATGGACCATCAATATCGTCAATTAATATGTGACAATATAGCAACTCAATCAACAATATTCAATGAATAATACGTTACCCATTTGTATGTTTTAATTGGAGTTAAAAGAGAGTTAAATAAAAGAGTTAAAATGTATGCATTGTACATGAGCAAAGCCATTAGACTTTAGCCACCCGTATTTTATTTGCTGTTCTACGTGGATTCGGTCATTTTTATTTTAAATAAAGATATCCCAGAAACGGTGCATCGTATCAAAAATTATAAAAAATGAAAGTTTTGTGTTTTTTTAGTATCTACAATAAAAAAATATTAAAAACATTTTTTTAGTAATCTAAACCTGTTAAAAAAAAAAGAAATATACAATGTTTTTTCCTGACCAAAAAACGGCCGGATGTCCCAATTTGTAATTTTACACAAAATTCATATTCTGTCTTTAAGAATATTAAAAAATTCCGTAACACCGATATCGACGGGGCTTTGATCAGGACAAAAATATTTTGTGTATTTTTTTTTAATTTTTCGTTTAAAACTACCCAAAAAATTTTTTTATATTTTTTATTGTAGATACTAAAAAAACACAAAACTTTCATTTTTTATAATTTCTGATACGATGCACCGTCTCTGGGATATCTATGTTCAAAATAAAAACGACCGAATCGACGTAGCACAGCAAATAAAATACGGGTGGCTCCTGATGGAATCGCTCACATACGTCTACCTGGTCATTTAGTCCAAATACAACACCTAAAATTAGTACGCCCATTTCATTATTTGGGTAAAATGATATTCAGGTGGTGCATTAAGGCTGATTAACGCGATATACATTTGTGAATTACAAGTATACTTACCATATATTTTAAGTTTCCTTTAACTCCAGGTAGATTATGTTTATTGACGAAGATTAACGCAAGTGGTAAATTTCAGTTGCAATAAGATCATCTTTTGAGTATAGAGTACAAGTCGATCATACGGTTTAGATAAAGTGAAGTACGTCGAATTATGAAAAGAAACTGTCGAAATGTGCATACGTAACAGAAAATAACATTCTTCGCTAGGTTAGATAATTAACAGATACTAAAAACTGCGATGAAAATACCTCAATGCATAGAAGTTGCAAAGTTTAAATAGAAATATTAAAAATTGACAAATATACTTCGAGAAGGCACTACTTGCCGTCAAGTAGTAGTCGAAATGGTGGTTAAAATAAATTTAAAATCAGGTAGCCGAAAAGATGGGAGACTGCCTGGTACATACACTATAAGGTACACCGGTTCAGTTGTCATCAGCTGTCATTCTTCCACATTCTTCCCTCAGTTGATGTCCTAGACCTGTGCGTCGTTTCTTTTGCTCGCCCTTCTTTGTGTTACCTGTGTTCCTTTTTTCTTCTGCTGGGCTATATCTTCTTCGTGATATCACGTCAATATTACTCTGAACTCCATAGTAAACACGCCAAGAGAGCTTGAGCGGTGGGGAATCTTAGGTTGGTGGTAGCATACCTTACTGCGCTCTCTAGGGAAGTAATCTCTTCTGTTTGCGTTCGCTTGCACTACTCTATTTGGCGTATATACATATATTTAGGTGCATTTGCAGTCACCTGGTACTTCTGATCACCCTCTGTGTTAGAAAAGCTTTCTCGCGGGAATCAACGATTATGGGCTTCACTTCCGGTGGCGAACGTGGTTTTATACATATATCCTGCTTCGAGTTTTGGCTTATTACGAGAATGATCGAGATTGCCCCTAAAGCATGAAGCATTCAAATACGTTCTAGAAACATTGTTGATATATATCAATCTACTTGTTATATTTCAACAATGTCTCTAAAATGTATCTGAATGTTTCGTGCTGTATGAGTGCAAGTGTAAATTTATGGTCTCTTCAGAATCTCCCCCCTTCGGCCGTTAGCTACTCCCACAATGTTTCTTTGCGGATCTTTAATCATGTTTTCTTACGTTTCTGCTTCTCATTCTGTACCTCTGCCACTGAGGGAAAAGCCAATTAATTTGTTTATTAAATTTCTAATGCTGTGAAGTAGTGTGTATAAATAAAATGACTGCAAGACAACCTCAGCGCTCTTACTGGTCTAGTACAGGAAAAAAAGTTAATAATTATCAATGAAAATACCCAAGACCTTGGCATTAGAAGCATTCCATCCATTTAACTCACATTAATATAAAACCATATTTGACTTAGTACATTTCAATCAATTCAATGAATAAAGTAGTTAATTTTTACTGCACCAGACGCGACAGTAGCTCATCATCTTTTGGTACAATCCATGCAGGTTCTTTACCTTCAGAAAATAAAAAAGATAATATTATACCTTTACTTACAATTTTATAAGTAATATAATTTATACCTACATGTCGATTTTTCTACTAGAGTAGATACATTCAGTGATTTAATTAATTTCCCCAACCCCTTGTAATCCTCTACATAAAATAAATTCTGTTCACTGCTGGAACGATCATTAAACAGGATATTCACTGTGTCATAATTGTAAGATTGATTTTGCCCTCGTATAATAACCATTGCTAATACTTCATGTCCTGCATTTCGCAAAGATTTAATTTGTTCAACAGCTACTTGGATCTTACTAGTATCTTCAGAATGTTCTCCGTCCGTTATAAATACTGGGAAACAATATACAATTAATAAATAATAAAATATCACACGCAATTAAGAAATAGTTATAAAAGTTAGGTGGAACTCACGTGTCATTGTCTTTGAAAGATTGGAGTGTAATACAATGCTACTGGCAGTATCCACCGCATTAATTAGACTCGTGGTAAGATCATTGATTTCTTTATCATCCTGACTAAGTCCTCGATTTAGAATTAATTGATCGGCCAATGAATTAATAGCAGAGCACTCGTTAGTCTGATTAAAATCAAATATTACTTTTGATCGTTTAGAAAATGTAATTAGGCCCAGTGGATGCGTCTTGGAAAGTCTGTTAATAAGAAATATAGATTTCAGTTTAGTTGATAAATGACATAATACTAATTAAATTGAATTTTAATATATAAAATGTGTACATGACTCACGGAAAATAATTGCGAATAATAACGCTTGCCAATTTAAATTGTTCTGCCAACCATCTATTCAGAATGCTTATACTGTCATCAATCACGAAGAGAATACCACTTTTCGGTACATTTGTCAATTTGCTTATCCTGTTTGTAAGAGTCGATACTACATCAGAAGTTTCTGCAAGGGAGAATCGCCACTTTACTCACTTGCAGCATAAAAGGATGAATAAAGGTGTAAAAATGAGATAATACTCAAACATTAAGTGCTATTATTTACAAATATTGTTATTTATGTCCATTAACTTTCGTTTGATTAATAGCAAACACCACTGTTTCAGAATCCGATCTACCATCATCCACGTGAACTAACTCAAATTGAATGCCAAGAACGATATCGTTATCATCGATTACGTCATCGCTGGAATTCAGCAATCTTTGCAAATCTTCATCGAGATCAGCTACCCTTAAATTTTTTCCAAGAGCAGAACAACATGTGAAGTTTTCGTTTTGATAATTAGTAGAGACCTTATCAATTCTCTCAGGCGTATCCATTGCATTAACCGAAATCTTCGTATTTTTATTTCCATCATAACTCTGATCTATTTTATTTTCAGCAATGGACACAGAAGTTATAAAACTCTTTTCCGCTTGGCTGTTTGCACGTTTTGAATTTTTCATGCCATAATCTTCTAAATGGAACTTACCATTGGAATAAGTATCATTTGAATAAGATATACGGCACAATACAGGTTGTTTAGTTCCATTACAAGGTAAACCATAAAATAAAGGCAGACCACGAGCCTCTCTATCTAAATTAAGACAAGTATTGGACTCTGCCTTTGGCAATGACGACTCGTCATCTCCAAGACACCAGGAACTTCTTGCACCAATTCCATTTCGTTTGAGTACTTCATTATTTTCATCTATCCATTTGTATTCTCCATCAATATATTTTGTACGACCGCCAACCCAGAGATGATCCAATGCTGTAGATATAATTAATCGTAGACGCGTAATATCATAAATTTCTTAATCTAAACTTATATACTCACACAGCTCTGTCATTTTTTCAAGAATCAATGCAAGTGTTTTGAAATCAAATATACTAGCCACATGACCGTAATAATATTCGCAATAGTGAATTCCTTCTTCATATGTCATATAACTTTCAGAAATCTTAAGCCAAGAATCTTCCATTGCTATGTAAAGATTGTCATTTTCAATGATTGGATTGTCCGGAATTACTAGGAGCATTAAAAAAATGATGTTTAATTAATGTAATACAGAACAGTTAAAAAATTATAAAAAATAAAAGGATAAGAAAACTCTACCATCTTGACATAGAAATGGTCTACGCTTTTCGCAATCCACATCAAGAAATACGGGAGTGATGTGATGAGGACACAAATGTCTATCAAGAATGAGACACCTTCCTGATCTCTGCCGATTACATTCCTCGTCAGATAGAATTATTGGATGGCCTGGAAGCCACGGAGGATAAAGAGACACGTTAGACTTTACAGATGGCAATTTGCAACCTGAAGAAATCCAAGACCAATCATATCCATCAGCACTCCAAGCTCCTAACCAGATGCTCTCCATTGCTAAAAAGAATTACATCTCTTAGTTATATATAAATACAATTAATATTATTATATAATATTTATACAGTTAACTTACATGGTCTACTTTTCATCATTGCAGCTGCTATTGATACAGCAACGTCATTGCTAAATATCAATGCCATATGCTTTTCACGCTTACGGCATTCCACTTGAGCCTCTTTCCAAGTTATACCACCGCCATTGAGTTTCTTGACGCCAAAATTATTTAAATCTTCATTCTCCTCGTTGACAACCGTATACAGTGTATAAAGATAACCGTTGACACTGATGTTGGCAGTCTCGATAATCTTCTCTTTGTCATGTACCTTTCTTTTATCTAAGTACGTCAAGATAAATAATGAATGTGCAGAAACAATAGAAAGAAAATCTCGATGACAATTTATTATTGCTACAAGCAAATTTATTGCGCGTCATCTACTACACGTGCCGCTAATAATTGCTTCACCAAGAGTCGTCCTGACTAATCGCGATAAGTAGTCGCGTATACTTTGGCCATGAATACATAAGAATTTATGAGAGCCATAAGTATTATTTTTTACAGCGAGTTTTTGCAACTTTCAAGGAAGTGGTGACACATTTGTAATACATTATTAATTATTGCTTAATTATTTGATTAGAAAATATTTTAATATATTTTACCTATTGTCTCACAGATGCAAGGTCTGCGCAGCTGACAATTCTCTGGCAGAAATCGTGGCACATCGTGACCCTGTCTATCTATTATTAGACAATTTCTGTCTTCGTGTAAATGATTCGGAAGTTCGTACCAATTTGGATATGCAGAAAGCACCATGTCTTTTGGAATTATTAAATTTTTATTTGTCCACAACCAATCGGAATTCACGTCCTTTCTTCGGCCTCCTATCCAAAGCCCGTCGTATTCTAGAAAAATAATATTTTTTATATATGCTACTATTTTTCAGGCAATGTTTATATATGCTTGTTATACTGACTGTAATTAGATTCGGCTAATTTTTGCGATAACCATTTTTGCATATCCTTATTCGATATCATAGCCAGTCTGCTTTCTATATTTTTGTTTTCGTTACTAGTCCCTGTCAAATTATTAGCAACGTTGTTATTAGAATTAATAGTTGTATCATGAATATATTCATTGTTTTCACGTTTCCTATATAAAGTGCACAGTGCTTCAGCTTCGTCCCAAGATACTCTTTTTCCAATAACAAGGAAAACATGCACAATATCTTTTTGATCAATCACACCTGTCTCGGGATTTTTTGAACGATACTCAAAATACTCAAGAACCTCGTTGTATCGTTTACCTGCGAAATGATGTTATTTTATTTTAAGATTTTTTAAATGATTTTTTCTTTTGTTCATATACCATAATTCAACGCGCTTCCAATTCTGAAAATCAGGATAACCCCGAAGAGCAACTGTGTAGATATCATTGAAATTTTTACTCAATGCACTTTTTGGAAATTATTATCAAGAAAGAAACACCTTAACCTCAAGATGAATTATGCTCGACTGAAAGTGCTAACCATTCCTTTAGTAATTCTTGTAAGCCCGACGTCCAATTTTGATCTGCATGTCAAGACACGGATTTCTAGGAATAATGAGCAATTCCGATTGAGAAGCAATGCCAGCGATAATGCAACTGCGGCAGGTGCATTGTTCTTTCTACTCGCTGCATATTCTTGCGTTCCAGAAACATTAATGATGATTAGTGAAAAAAATGTATTAGATTCTAATTTGAATAATAGAAATTATCTTAGTTGTTAATTTAATACGGTAATTGTATAAATTTTTTATCATGATTTGTGTACGAAAAAAATTTCACTCCCTTTATTATGACGAAATACGGAAAATATTTGACGGATTTCTCATTTCCTTCCTCTTTTATTTCCACCTTTTTTTCTTTTTTTTTTACAACATTTACAGCATCCCGTTGGCGGCTCCTCTGTATCTTTTATTACGGATGTTGTACTATTTTGAGTTCCGGCATTCACCATATCTTGACTGTCGTCGCGATTTCGTCTTCTTCCAGATTTCTTTTTATTTTTTACATATGACTTTCCGAGTTCCTCATCCACCGCTTTACGTTTGCTGCGTCGTAAAATATTTCTATCGTTTAAAGTATCGATATAAAGCGTGTACCAGAATCATGGAATCTTTACAAACCTTGACGTCTTTTTCTTCTTTTTTCCTCGTAATTTATTAAAACATACCGCTAACCGATATCTAATTAGAAGAGCACAAAAACATGCGCAGAAAATGACAATTCCCAATATCATCAAAGCTGGAATGATGGGAAGATTCACGTATGGTTTTCCTAAAAAATTGAATCACTCTAAATCTTCATCCAATAAATAATATTCTATTATTCTAATACCTTCAATATATTTTTCCTTGATCCTCGTAAAGGGATCAGTTTTATTAGCTTCCCCAGTTCCATTCCCTCGCACTTGTATGCTTTCTTTATTCGTTTCGACTTTTTTCTCGTTTTTATTTGTCGCTTCGCTTTGATTGTCTTTCGAAACAGGATGAAACCTACGAGAACGAGATTCCGTTGATAAAAAAAAAAACTATAATAAAAAACTACAAATAAAATTTTTCCCATACTGGGCAAAGGGTGATTTTTCCGGTGCAATCGATGTTGTAGTATCACGATCATCCTGATTCTCCCTTATTTTAATTAATTTACTTCTTGCTGGAGCTAGGCCGAGTAAAAAATTTAACCTTGACACCAAGTCAGAAGTAGACACAGAATCTTTCGAGAGAGAAATTGAATCATGATTTGACCCTAGTCCAGCCGAATTCGAGATGAGATCATTAATTTTTGACAAGGTTGGTTCTGGCACTGATTTTAACTTCCTGATGGTCTCTTTCTCTTTGACTGGATACCTAGAAAGAGACAAACGAAAGTAATTGAATTTGTTTTTTATCGATAATCAATAAAAAATGAATCTCTTTAAATTAATATCTTACTTTTGTTCAAGCGGCTGATCATTCGTAGAATTTAATATTGGAGTATCATTTAATTCCAAATTAGTGAGCCAAGTAATCAAGTCATCTCTGCCGATTTGTCGTAGACGATTTTCTAAAACTAATTGAACGTCTCTTCGCGTCACTTTCAATTCTGATGTCCATTGATATAATTGATGGAAACATTCCATTGCATTCAATCCATCCTTCCTTATCACTCTTTCAATTGTGGCTGTGAATATATTATATTGATTATATCATTCACCAAGTTTAAGTTATCCGAATATTTTTTTAATCTTACGATTCAAATTGTAGGAGACAATCCTTAGACATTCTTCCGGTTGCAAATTTGACGCTATATGCCTCAATACAGATGTATCTGAAGCACTGGCATTCTTTAAATTAAGAATTTTCAGTTATTACGTATATATATATAGAAACTAAATAATTTCTTTGTATTACCTTAATCAGTATAAATGTAATGCTCATCAGTATTAAAATTATATGATGCTGTGAGGTCCATGTTAATTTAAAAATCTTCAGGCACATTATCGTATGACGATCATAGTATATTTCAGAATTCCAATGTATGGTAGATGACTGGAAAGAAAATGATGATAGAAAATTGAAAAATTATAAAGAATCAAGCGCATAGGTTTTCCATTAAAGTACCAAATGATCAAATACATTTTTTTGAGGTTAAACGATCGAGAAAATTGAATTAATGGTAAATTGAATTAAGTACAAATAAAACAGCGATTACTTCTCATCGATCACATCGAAACCATCTTCATATATCGACTGTCAGAATTGACAAAAATGTGGAAATCCGGACGATGTATTTTATACGTATTATTTTTAAGATGAAATTTGTATATAATTTTTATATTCTAGTCATTGTTTTAAGGGCAAGTACATAAAGGACCATCGTGCTAACAGATCGTTAAAATATAATTACGTATCTGTACTATAACCATGTTATTTATATAAATTATAATTATAATACTAAACCAGGGTGTATGGGTGACTCAAGGAACGGCCGATATCGATCTCGAGGAACTGAAGCATCTGTCACGAAAATTAATCCCCATAGAATGCGTAAAACTCATAGAGGGACTGTATCTTCAGACATCGTCACGTGGAGGAGTAGTCGGATTCCATCAGAATATCCCTCGAATAATTTCTCGACGGGACCTCGTCGAGGATTGGAGTACCCGAGATGGTTGTTTGGTAAAACTCGAAGAATGGAATTACAAGTATCCAGGTACTCGATTCTATTGGGCAACAGAAGAAAAGAATTTTTAATATAAAATATATAATATTTAATCCTTCTGATCCGTAGGAAGCAGGACTCCCAAAGCTCGTGCTTTAATGGAAACCACCCTAAGGTCACTGGGAAGACCGGACCTTGCAAATTATATTCGTCGCAATCAGCGAGTGGTAAAATTTGAAAACTGCATCGTTAATGATGCCGAAAGCTCGACACTTTCTGAAGACATTCACAGGATATCAAAAAGACATGAAACCAAAGCTACCAAAATCATGGCGACCATCAAGAAGAAAAAATTAGTGACTCAAGGACGTAAGGAGTCGCAAACTCCTATGCAGGAAAGCATACGCGTTGAATTGCATAAAGAGAAACTTGCTGCTGCGTAAGCTAATTAATCGAGCTGTTCGCCAGGATGTAGATGTGCACAGCTAAAGAAATTAATGATTTTAGTATTGACGGTGGAGAGCAAACTGAAACTGTCAGTACCGACACCGGAAAGGAGACACGCTGGATAGCTTTTATTGTCTTGCTGGGAATAATTGTTGTATCGATTTTTGGAATGATAGTGTATGCCGTAATTAAAAAAAGTCGATTAAAAGGTTGTAGCAATCGAGAAATTAGAACAACTATATGTACTGATTGCTGTCAGCAACCTAATTGTTCCTTTAGAAAATCATCTAGTGGCGAAGTGGACGTTGAAGGTGGTAAAACTGCAAGGAGTTCAAAGTGCAATAGATTTTATAGCAAATTTGGATTTGAGAAACGTAAACAGCAGTATAACAGTTGTAATCAGGAAACTCCAACGCTTGTTTCCGTGCGAAATAATAAAAAAAAGAAAAAGCACGGATCACCGAAGCGCGTAAAAACCGCAGTAGACAAGAACTATAAGACGCAAGAGAGGAACAGGACGGAATTGGAGTGCAAAAAAAGTAGAAAAAAAAAGTTTAAAGATTCATCTCCTTTGAGTCAAGATACACGTGCAGCAGTCCATCCAAAAAATAGCCAATCTGATTTGAAAAGATTTCAAAATAAACTCGCTTACATTCTTCGCAAGGACCATAACAATTGCAAGTGCTGCAAATGCACTTTTCTTGGAGACGGTACGTATTCGAGTTGACAATATGTTTTTTGATTTTCTAATTTAGTTCTTCTTTTTATTAACGTACAGGAAAGCCGAAGTTGTGCAAAAAGAAATTTCTTGGAAACAAAAAGCTCTGCAACGATCTCCGCTGTAAAAAGCAACAGATACAAAATATAACTGATCTTTGTGTATCTGAAGCCACAAACAATTACAGGAATGTTCGGAAGGAGTCGAGATTACGCAAAAGCCCTAAGAAACGAGAGACTGACAGAAAATCTTCACGCAGCTCTTCAACTTCTTCCGAACGAAAAGTCATTCGAGGAAAGGGCAACCAAGTAAAGGGCGAACCAATTATCGTTCCTTGTATTAAAAGAACGTGCATTTCAAGAAAATCGTCAAAGGATCGAAAACTTAATAAAAACATAATAGATGTATGCGTGAATCCAGGGACAAAGATGAAATATCGAAAATTCTTTTAGGGTGATGAAACTCGCGATGGTAATATTTTGAATTTTACTTCGAGTAGTGCAAATTCAATTTAATTATATTTTTTTATTTTATTGACATCAGTTGTCAAGCGAATTTTTTGCATTGATAGGGTATTTTGAATCTGTACGTGGTACTTTATATGGATACCATTCGATGTCTGATGATTCTGTTTGTTCTGGATTCTATGGATCGATTTTGTTCAAGGCATTCATGTCGTCACTCAGTTGAATGAAACGTGCGAATTGTCTGAAGTCGTATTGTGAAATGATTCAGCACGTCAATTGTCTGAAAATGAAGAAAAGGAAGAAAACAAGAAAGTGATTAGAAGTGACCTCCGTGCGTGTCGTGTGTTTCGTGAAACTAGGTTTAATTTTGTACAAATATATACCTTAATTTTTATTATGAAACTTTTGCAGTTTTATCTTTTGACTATTTTTACTCTGTGGGCAAGTTATATGCTCCCTTGGTTAATGAACATTTTAAAAATTCCAATAATTCACATTTTATTTTTTACAGGATGCCAAATTTCGTGCCTCTGCGGATTTCACGCATATCGAATTGGAATATTTATCAAAGAGACTTTATCCTGCGGAATGTTTCCAATTGGTGACGTATCTGGGAGCAATAAAAAATCCAAAAATACCATTGATGGATCATCTATATAATTTTCGAGATATACAAGACAGTTGGGATGGCAAAGGGCAATCACCTTGTCTGGACAAATTAGAGGAATGGAAAGATAAAAACGGAATGGACCAATATGCTGGAAATAGACTCAAACTTGTTTTACAGAAATTAGGAAGACCTGATCTTGTTGCTTATCTTAAAAAAACGTACCCTAATTTCAAATCCAAGGAATCTAAAATGATTGCATCAAGGGAAATCAAAAGCAGAGAGACACGTGATTTGGGGATTAAAGATAACGTCGCATCTTTAAATAGTGGGTTAGCAAGAGATAACAGATTTATATGTTAATCCTGTGAAAAACTTTTGAAAATTTAATTTTTCCCTCCAGCGGATTTATACAGGCGTTTCAAGATGGAGATAATGAAAATGTTTCATACATTTTGGGACCTGAATTTACTATGTATTCCGTTATAGGGAGTCTTCTTATCTTGAGTTGTCTTGGATGTGTCCTTGTGATGTCCTATAGAAGAGTTTATAATTATTATCAATGTTATATGGATCACTTTAAGTAAGTCACTGTTTCTCTCCAAAAAAATATGTACCTAATGATGTATATCTTGTATAGAAATAAAGACGAAGAGAAATGTATGTTTGATAAGACTTTGAGCAAATTCGAAATATCCCCTCAAAAGGAACTTCAAAATTTGGAAATTTGCGAAGATTGTACGACAGATAATGAAAAGCAAGATAAGGAAATAGATTGCGAAAATTCCAAAAGAAATCGAAGATTTTCGAAAAATAACAACAAGATGATTAAAAAAAACAATCATTGTAAAAATATTAAACAGAATCTTAATAAATCCAACAAAATTAATAAAACTACCAGAAAAATAAGTGAAAGTATTCAAAACGAAAAGAACATGAACGTGTGTAAATGTAGTCGCAGTCAGAAACCTGAATTTATTTCAAAATTGCGAAAAATTATTGGTGGAACCATTAAGAAAAACAGTGAAAATCATACCTCATGTACATTTATTCAGTATCCATTAAGTAAAATCGAAAATAATCTAAAATCTCAAGAGGAGCGCAATAAAGGATACCGAGCAGGCAAAATGTTTCGTAAAAAGTATTTGAAACGAAGCAGAAAATCTAAACTTGTTCAGCCCAGCCGTAAAATAATCTCAACAGAAAAGATTAATCCATGTACCTGCAAAATGTGCAAACTATTCAATATTAATGATGAGAAGTACAACGAAATTCACAAACTCATGATGGAATGATGAATTCCAATTGATCGACCAACCTTTATTAGCACTGCGCAGACATTCGAACTACCCAGAGCTACCAGTTGGTAAAAGATCTCAGTTGATAATCATTCGACAGAATGGTAACAATGGTTTCTTTCGAGGTTATACAAGAACGAATGTCGCATTAGCTGTTAATGGTTTTACTACCACAATTCTGTTTGGTTGTCACATTCCCTCAAAGGGCAGCCAATTGTTGATAAAATTACTCTGTGAATACGTTCAAACAATATATGGTGTACGCTGTCAAATTTGGCACGATAGCTGCCTCTTCAACATGAGTAAAATGTACTCAACAGCAAACCTATCTGACAAGGAATTGAAGGAACAAGGAAATCGTTTATTCAATCTTCATAAATATGAGGATGCTGCTAACTGCTATACAAAAGCAATAGTAAGTGCACAAATTTAATGTATGATTATAATTGTGATGCAAACTGCATTATATTTCTTATTATTTTTTCCACAGATAAAAAATCCCACTCAAACAATGTATTTCACTAACCGAGCTCTTTGTCACCTTAAACTTAAGAGATGGGAATCCTCATGCAAGGATTGTCGTCGAGCATTGGATATGGATCCTTGCTTGGTAAAAGGACACTTTTTTTTGGGACTTGCTCTCTTGGAATTAGAATTGTACGATGAAGCTATTAAACATCTACAGCGAGGTATGTTTTAATTGTTTTTGCTAAGGATTTCTTAGATATAATAACAATGAGAATAAGAATGACAGACTCTTCTGCATATTATGAAACTGAACTTATAATGGCACAGCGGTGGATCTGGCCAAGGAGCAAAAGTTGAACTATGGTGATGATGTCACAAGCGTCTTGAGGCAAGCACGAAAGCGACGATTTCAGTTACGGGAAGAACAAAGAGTTGCTCAAGATATTGAGCTTCAATCTTATCTGAATCAGCTTATTGCGGAAGATGCAGAACGTAGCATCGCAGCCTTGAAACTGAATGATTCTGACTCAAAAGAAGAAGGTGAAAGTGATGCAGACGCAACTAGTAGCCATCAAAAGAAAGAACTTATTGAGGAAAAGAGAGACAATTGTATTGCCAGACTGAATGATCTGTTTGCCAAAGTAGATGAACGACGTCGGGTAAGTGATTATTTTCTATTATATTATTTTATTGCATACGTTAAGTTCCACTATTGTAATAATCTAATGCATAAACTCATTCAACTAAATAGAAAAGAGAAGTGCCTGATTACCTTTGTGGAAAGATCAGTTTTGAGATTCTACAAGAACCAGTGATCACACCAAGTGGTATAACATACGAACGAAAAGATATAGAAGAGCATTTGCAGAGGGTGGGTCACTTTGACCCCGTGACTCGTGTTCGTTTGACTCAAGATCAATTGATTCCGAATCTAGCTATGAAGGAGGTTGTTGACTCATTTCTCCAAGAGAATGAGTGGGCTTTGGACTATTAATTATTTACGCGCAAGAGAGCCCAAGTATAAATATACCACTATGATATATTGTCCGTATATCAAAATCATTATTTAGAGACATATATCATTGTCTTATATTACCCATACGCCAATCATCTCATTATAAGCCGAATTAACTATCGGCGATAATCACTTTTTAATAAGCATCTTGTTACTATCGCTTCTTGCGTTATCATTATTCAAAAATGGGATATAGGGATGGGTAATGTTATGTCAAACCGTCTATTTTGATCTTTAGAAATTTTTGTTTAGGTTCTTTTTCTATTGTCTAGAGCTTATGTGCTAGAAAAAGCATTGTGCCTATCGCACAAAGCAACAATGTAGTTAGACGTTTCCATACGTGTACGTTTAATTCTTTTTCACGAACGAATAATAAAATTATTTATTTTGAGAGATCACTGCCTTTATTACTTGATTCCACATTTATTCGATTGTAGAACTTTAAAATATATGAAAATTTGTACTTAAGATATGACTTAGTCTTAAGGAGACAGTACGAATTTTAGAAATTAATTTTAAATTATTTATAATACGTATTGTATATGAACAATCTAAATTTGATTTATCCATTCATTTTTTACCTGTATTCGAAGTAATTCTAGGCCAATGCTAATGAAAAATGCACGATATGCATAATTATACTATGAATCAATTTTCTGATGATGCGGTACAAGAATCAATAATTCCTCGGTACTATTGAATCTATAGTAACAATAGCAATAGCTACAGCTATAAATGGTGCCATCCATTGCTGATAATACGTTGAGTTTTCACTGTTTGTTGTAGAAAGAATAAATAGGCTTAAACAATATAATATTGTTGCTAAAGTTCGTGAACGAATTCCATCCAGACTTGATGGAATTCGTAAGATTCCTAAAGTACCGCAAGTGGTCATTACCACCCAACAAGTTAGTAACACAGGATTTTCTGAAGTTAATCTTTTTTCGTAACTAAAGAAAAAAAGAAAAAGTTTTTAAGACATTACGAACTAGAATTACGTTAATAAGAAATCAAAGTAAACGGACGTACCGGAAATTCTTTGCCCAAATTAGGACTGAGGGTATAGCTGGTAATGCAGCAAAACACCATGTTAAAAAAAGTACTAATTGATTAATTATTTGTTCCTTTGCACTGGAACTATTATTTTGGTCATTGCTTCCTGACTTAGACCTTGGTAGTATGTTGAAATGGCGTAATGATGCCATGAACAATTGCTCAAGATAGTCTTCGTACATGTTAGTCAATTTCAGAAAGTAAAGAAAGACTGATATTAACATAGCCAGCGCACCGCAGGTGGCTGGAATCAAAGACAATAGTAGAACTGTAGTAACTAGAGGCAATTGATTTAATCCTCCCAAAATCCAATCAGACCAAGTCATTGAGAAGGTAATGGTTCTAGCTAGAAACCTGTAAAATTAAATTTTTCGATTGTACATGAATGTATCAATTATGCATAAAAGCTTATATATTATATTATAATCCTTCAAACCTAATTGCCACGCTATGAGCCACAGAGCCAAAAAGAATAACAGCCACGCATGTAGCAGTGGTGAGTACAAAAAGTACAGTCCAGGCCACAGCCATTTCTAGACCAATTCCCAGATAAACACCAAAAATCATTGTGACAGTTGTGATCTTTACGCCCTTCTGTCCATGATCAACTCTGATACCAATGGCAAGGATCAACAGGCTCACAATGACTGTGTATAAGATTGGCCAACGATCTCTCACCAAACATAGTACTCGTTCTATTAAACCGGATCTCTGGATATCAAAAGTATATGAACACATTGGATCTAATGTCATTCTTAATATTGGAGTTACATTAGACATTTTGTGAGCAGTTTGTAACCTCATTACTTTTGGTCCATTGTCCCTAGAAAGAATAATTATTGATAAATACTTACTGACTGCTAAAACCTTATGGATAACAACTTGATATGATTATTGACCTATCCGTGAAAAATTTAAATTGTCCAATGTCAGGATTCCAAGGTTCCAGTAATTCAATCATTGCATGATGAATATCTGTAAAATCGTCTTCGCATTCTATGTCTTCCAGTTTAATTGATACTGAATCCAATATATTCGGGATAGCTACGTAGTAACGTACATTACCACGATGGAACTTTATTGGATCGAATTTACTTAAGCCAAAAAATCTTCCCAGAAATGGTATTTTCTCATTCAGCTGTATATTCCGTTGATTATTAGAGTACGAGTCCACATGTATGATAGCATTTTGTTGTAATGACCGTCTTGGCACTCTAATTACAACATGCGTCACTGAAGGTCGATTTATTTCATTCAAATTCAGGTCGACGACCTTTCTTTTTCTATGTCGCAGAATGTCAGGTGAGCTTCTTGTGAAATTCGTTAAATTCCATCCCCACTTACTGAATAAAATCGAATACGTTAATAATCCACACAGAATAAATATATTATTGTATAGCATGTTATATGATTTACCATATTCGAGAATTTCCTTCTACACTAAAGGCAGAACAAGTAAACAACCACTCACTACTATCCAAACTGAAAGTTTCAATAGTCAAACGATTCCAAGGATTTAAAATTCTGATCATGAGGTAAACCTCATGATTCCTGGACTTATCAGCCATGTATTTTTTAGCCGACCACACGTACTGTCTACGAATATTTTCGATCCACACACCGCCATATAGTTCTACTGTCGCTTTAAAATTAGAATATTTTTTTCCCATGGAGGACTAAAATTGTTAAATAAAGTCAATCAATCTTTTCTGTAATGGATTAATTAATAATACCAAAATAGATACCCTCAGAAGATGGTAAGACATAACTTTCAATCTTTCCTCCGAATCAGCTATAATTTGTGCAGGAGGTTTAGTACTGTCTACGCAATCAAAAAGAGCTCGCACAATAGACATCATCAATTGTTTGCACCAAAGAATGCAAAGGTGATCCACTGATGTCCATACGTTCGCAATATTCGTTGTAACAATATTTATATCGGCTATGGGGTCTATAGCTTGAGATGCTGTGACAAGCATATCCTTGGAACCTCCACTGATAGAGATTATAGTTGTGCCAGATTCTTTGAGCCGATGAGACACGTTTTTTAAATTCCTATAATATTCATCTAACGTTCCATCGATCATCAATAATGGTACATGCGGTGCTGCCAAAGTGATTAACATGTTCACTTGTCCAGGATGGGAGTTGTCTGTCAATAATACTGATCCTTTGGCCACAATCCCACCCTTAAATATATAAAGATTATTAATATTTGTAAGCATCTTTTATTGAGTTACAGTTACGACCTTACCATCGAATGACCTATAATAATGATATTCTTTATTTTCCCATTATAGATGGCCAAAATTCTCTGTATACAATGAGAGATGTACAAGGTTTTTTCCATGAGTACACCTTTAATTAATTGAGAAGGTAATTATAAATATATTATGTGTCATTTCTTATATGGTATTAATAGTCTTTTGTACCTCCATAGAGAGCAGAATAATCCTCTGCTAGATCGACAGTAAAAAAGTCAAAATGATATGGAGTCCATTCGTTTATGCTTATCCGTAATGCGACTGAAGCCAATGACCTTACTGCCCATGACAATAAATTATAGGAGACAAAGTCAATGGTATTGTTTTTTTTATTTTATAAATAGTTTCTGTACCAATTTACCTTGTTTAAAGGATCCAGCATTACCTGGAACAAAGAGAACTGGAATACCAGAAAAATGCATTCTTCTGTGACGTTCAGTAACAAAACCTTCTGCATAAGAATACAGACTGAATTTAGGAAATTGGTTTTCCACTTTCTTATTTAATGTAATCCTCTGTAAATATAAGCGCAATAAATAATTATGTAAAAAGAGCTTTGTTTAAATGCTTCCTATTGACTTACCACATACTGTGAGTATTCAAACATAAATGTCATATTGCAGGTATTCTCTTCATGAACAGTAACATAATGCAAGGTCCCCAATATATAAAGTAAAAAAAAAGGTAACGATATGGCAGTTAAAGTTCCATAGAAGGTTGCACTTCTAACATTCATTGTCCTGATGTTATTACTAAATTACAATCTGAAAAGATTAGATAAATGACACATTCCAAATAACGTAATGACTTCCCTATCTTATACATTGTAAAACAATATTATGCTACGAAATGTCAAACTTTATTTCAATATTAAATTAATATCTATAGTGGATGCATTTTAAAACTCACTGCCGGTACTAAGGGTAATGTCGTGGTTTTGATTACCAGCATGCAACTGAGCGAGACAGAACTATACTGCAGTGTTTTAGAATACATCTTAAGGTGGTTGTCCCGTGCCTGTACTCTTCAAAAGTTTTTTCCATCGGATGTACTGCAAGTAATTGCAACTCGATTCATGCACCTAAAAAACTTGTGGCATGGTACAGTCACTGCCATGCTCAGTCGTTTCATCGAGATTCTACATCACAGAAAAGTATAAATTGTTCAATTAAATTCGAATCATTGATAAAATAATCAATATAGTATATAATAGAAAGAAAAAAATATTGTTTTTTAAAAATCGACATTTTAAAAAAAAAATTTGATTGAGACTCATCAATTAGATGTCTTGAAAATTGAAAAATTAATAACAAAAAATACTTGAGAATCTATTTTAATTCAAGATCTTTAGTTTCAAATTACAACAATTTTAATAATATACTTGAGTTATCAATGAACAAATACAGACATCATACAAATCGTTAAGTCATCTTTAACACGACTTTTGGATGTGTTTGAAAAATATCCTTGTTATTGTAAAATGGGACATGAACGTAATATTAAACTTGATACTTAATCGTAAACGAAGTAATGGATTACTCTAATCGCAAAGGATAACACTCCGTACAATTACAGGTAAATTTTGTGAATTTAATATATGCCTGTAAGTTATGTTGTAAATACTTTCTTATATCTGTATCTATACTTATGATTACAGTTGGTGTGTGATCACAGGAATTCAATTACAAATTGCTACACTAGACATCCTAGTTCAGTTCATGATCAGAAAATATTCCGATTATCGGATGTTTCTAATTACTTGAATGAAAATGAAAAATTTCCTGAAAACATCTATAGTGTAACTAAAGGTGATGCATCATGTGAGCTGCATCAACATCTACTACTTACTCGTTTCCGAGACAATGGTCATTTGACGCAAAGACAGGAAGGATATAGCTATTACCAGAGATGAGTGGGGAGATGTACAACGCTCCGGTTTTAGGCGATACCAAAAGCATGGCGCTAAATCGTAGCGGCGAGTCCGGGAGTAGGATTTCGTGATCATCGCCTCTGTCGATGTTACAGATTTCGCGTAGCCGCGCGGGTCATGATCATCGTTCCAGCCGATATTGCAGTCAGCGAAAA